GCGCTTCGGCTCCTGCCAGGGTTTTGCAGGATTCCCTGCCTTCACTGCAGATAAAATAACGAAAGCAAGAAAGCAAGCAAGGAAGTAAGAAAGAAAGAAAGGAAGAACGAAAGACGGAAGGAGGGAAGGAAGGAAGGAAGGAAGGAAGGAAGGAAGGAAGAAAGGAGAGAGATAGAGAAAGGAAGGAAGGAAGGAAGGAAGGAAGGAAGGAAGGAAGGATCTGGCTGTGGAGCCAGAAGTTGGGGAGATTGATTCCCCACTCGGTGTCCTTAACAGGGGCTGGACTAGATGACCCACAGGGTCCCTTCCACCTCTGTTGTTTTGAGTGGTGGGAGATTTGTCTGCACACTGCAGTAGCTGATAAAGCTGAGCTTTACCCCTCTGTTCAGGTCAGAATTTCATGTTTTTTTCTTCTTGACTTTTCAGAGAAATACAAAAAACATACAACAGCACAGGACTACATAAACCTCCCAATGCAGGTGTCGTGGATGGAGGGCATCTTCCTTTCTGTTAACAGGGAAAAAAAACTTGAGGGAGAAGTTATTCTTGAAGCAAAACAGGGTGTCTTAAAGACATAGGGTGGAGATCCACAGCCTCACAACGTCCCGAGGGGTGTGTCTTTTTGGGCCAACGTGAAGTAGAAGGGGTAAAATCCAGCACCATCCAGGGACACAGGCTCCTTTTCCTAGTCTACTTCAAAGCAGGTAAAGCTCCTGGTCTCGCCTTTCATGAAATCCACTCTCCAGAGGTTCACAAAAAAGCACAAGTTAAAAATAGCAACACAGCCCACAAATTCTTCCCTCACAGGACCTGGTGTGTGTTTTTGTGTGTGTGTGTGTGTGTGTGTGTGTGTGTGTGTGTCTGTGTCTGTGTCTGTGTCTGTGTGTGTGTACACTGAGCACGAGGCACCCAAATGGATGAGTGACTTGATGGCGCAGCTAATTGCATGAGTCTCAGTTCCAGGAAGAAGACAGCATATAAATAATTTCAATAAGGACCTGACAGACTAGTACCCAGTATGTGCTGGTATTATTTCAGCCTCGCATGTTGCCTTTAGGAGGTTTGACTGGGAGGGGCCTTTCTGGGTTGGGGTGAGTGTCAATCAATCCAGCAGTAACCAATTGCTCCTTCCTCTGCCTCTGATTTAAAGGAGAAACCCGCCTCTCTGCTTAAGTGTCTTTTCTCCTCTCTTTTAGTCTGTTGGCAGTTTGTGTGCAGTTACGCGAATGTAGTCTGAGAGTCTGCTGGAAGCTATCAGCCGTGAGTATGCTACTGCAAAGCGGCAATGTTTTCTTACAACATGCTGTTTTGATCTGCTGGTGAGTAAATGAAACCTTTTTACTCTTCCTCTTACCAACATCTCAGAGTCAGTTATTGAGAACATCCGTGCCAGCTGGTGAGAAGCAAAGGGGGGGGGGTCGTCTACTCTGGGGAGACTGTGGTGCAGCCAGAGGAGTTCAGCCAAAACGCAGAAGTATCCACAGAGCGACTTTTTCTATGGGGACTTTGTCCGGAGAAATGCGGCGCTCAATGTTAAACCCTACTCCAACCCATAAGGAGGGAAGCTTTGGCATGGCTGCCCCCCATCTAGACGGGGAGATTTGTAGCTGATTCTGTGGTTCAGCCAGAGGAGTTTAGCCAAAATGCAGAAGTATCCACAGAGCGACTTTTTCTATGGGGACTTTGTCCGGAGAAATGCGGCGCTCAATGTTAAACCCTACTCCAACCCATAAGGAGGGAAGCTTGGCATGGCTGCCCCCCATCTAGACAGGTCTTCGGAATGCGCCCATTCTGGCACGGCTCCCCACCCTGTTCTCTCTCTCCTCCTCTTTTCAGCCTCCACCTCCTGGCACTTATCCAAAGAGACTCTGTTCTGCTTGGCTGGTGACCCTGAGAAGACGCAGCCATGTTTTCTGGCTCATGGATCCCACCTATGGGGCGGGAAAGCCCGTTCCACCAACACACACCGGAGACCCTACACAAGCCATTTTCTAAGGAAGGAAAGAGATGGTTGCATTAAGGCATTCTCAATAGCCTCACCGGCGAAACGATCTTCATTTAGGAGCGCACGGCCGGGTTCATCTATTCCACTAATTTTGATGAATCGTTCATGCTTGGGCACGCCAGAGAATATAAAGGGGGGTGGGGTGGGGGTGGGAATAGATGGAATCACACTTCATTCCAGTTCAAGAAGCATTCACATCACGGTGAGTTCGGTGGAAACATTAAACTTGATTTATTGAAAAATATCTATTACATTTGCTCCTTTATTACACAGGTTTAAAGTTTTTTTTTTCCCCCTTAAAAAATACGTCTTGAGGACCATGACATGTTGGACAAAAATTTATAAAAACTAGGATAGATTAGCTGATTGTGTGTGTGTGTGCAAGTGTGTGTGTGTATACACACAAACACACTGAATACGGGGGAAGAGTCTATGTATTTTAAATTCAATTTCCATCCTTTTTCTTCCTTTCTCCTCATCCACTTTTTTTTCAAGTCTTCCTTATATATATTAAAGGGAGAGGGGAGGGATAAAATTACACAGAAAGATATGTCTGCAAATATAAGAAATATTTTTTATTGCAATATACCGTAGCTAAGTGGCCTGAGAGGGGGAAAAAAAGGACTGAAAGAAACGTCAATACAGTTTTACAACACTTGGTAGGTTCCCCCCCCCAACAGAAGCACCAAACAAAAATGGAAAACCCAATGAGCGTTTTTGACAATAAGAGGATTTGGAACAGAATCACATGACCTAAATTCGTGAGTGACGGTCTCTCCTTCCATTCGTTAAGAGCTGGCTTTTTGAATGTTTAATTAACTTAATTTTTTGTTTCATTTCTATTCTTCCTTCTTCTTTTTTTGCAAATGCTGACGTTTAACCTTTTTGGGATTTCTCAGGGCTCCTGAAATGGAAAGCACCACCATGTATTGATGGTCTACCCGTTTCCTGTTGCTTTCTTCGCCCGTCCCAACACTGCAGGTTTCAACTCTTCTGCTACAAGCTTTTTGGTGGCTCACCAGAGCGCTTCCGTGGGAAGACTCCCCCCTGGCGTGTGTTTTGAGGTGTAAACACTATTTATGCAGGCCTGGTGGGCCCCGCGATTCACACCCGTGACCCGAAAGTGCAACCTAGTAAGGCAGGATAAGAGCCCAGGACAGGAGCAAAACTGGCAAGCGTTGACCCGAGGAGAGAGGCTCTTTCCCTTCTCGGTGGTGCTGTGTTTTCCACCTGGGGTGCGTGTGTTTGTCTCTCTCACACCCTTTCTCCTACTAGTGTGCAGTTCCACGTTTCAGGCTAAGCTCAATGAAGGACCCCCACTTGATCCGTCCTTTAGGGAAGCCAGCCCACAATCATGGGTCTACTCAACACTCAAAGTCCACAGCATTTCCCCAGAAGACAGGGCATCTGCCGTTTCAAAACCACTTGCCGATTCTACTTTTGTTCACACCGGAGAGCCAGCAAAAGACCCCAAAGGCGCATCCAGGAATCCCACCCCTAATTGGGATCCGCAGCGGGGTCGGAAGCTCCCGTTTAGAAAAGTGCGATAAAATAACCGGAGGGCCCTTGACCCTGCACCTTGGCTTTGATGGCCGAACGCTGGGAAGAGACACCCCTACGGAGCTCCGATTCCCAGGACGACGTGCGATGTCTTTTCCTTGACAAAGACCGGCTTCCCTGGATCTGAGGTTTTAAGTGCTTTGTTCCTGGAAGGACTCTGGAATCCAACAGTTATAAAAAAAAACTGGAATCCCAGCTGGAAGAGACGTTTTGCTCCGAGACCCTTTGCGAGCGACTCTTGAGGAAGAGACGCACAAATATTGCACCTTCCTTCCCTTGTTCAATAAAGGCATTTTTGGCAGGTGTGTGTTTGGGACTTTCTCTCTCTGTCTGTGAGTGTGTGTGTGTGAGAGAGAGTATTGCATCTTGATTCAGTACACTGAGAAAAAAAATACATAAATTAGCACCACAAATATTCAGCAACGGAGTACAAAATCTGGCAGAATTTACCGTCATATAAAATGCATGAATATTCTATTTGTTACACAAGGAAAGAAAACACCCCCCACTCCACCCCCCCCCAACACACATATAAAAGCCAAGGCATGGGGCAGCCACAAGGACACACATTAAGCAGAGTTTTAATACTTTCGACATGAGTCGTCAAGGGTACCACGATGCAACAACAGAAGCAGCTGATTCCACGCAGTGCGCATCAATTTTTTTTGGGTTGGGGGGGCACGCAACCCTTTTGAAGAGGGGTGACGTCGGCCAGAAGGGATTTGGCCGGGGTTGATATTAAGAGCTTCGGAGGCAAGAGAATGGCAGGGATCCACCCGGGCTGTCCGAGAATGACCCAGGCCCATTATAGCACCAACCAAGAGGAAGATAACGTGATTAAAAATATTAGCACCTGTGTTTCTAATATATATTTTCAATTGTTCTTTTAAAAGAGAAAGAGGGGTGGACAGCCTTGCCCTATCGAGGCCTTCCAGTGGGAACAGAGGTTTGAAACCGAAACGGAAAAAGGCTTTTTTTTTTTTTTGCGAAGGATATTTTAAACAACAACAACAACAATAATAAAAACGGAAAAAGGCTTTTTTTTTTGCAAAGGATATTTTAAACAACAACAACAACAACAATATAAACCTCATACTTTACAACAAGCAAAGGCAGAGAAAGGATTTCAATTCTATGCTGCTTGTCAAAACTGGGGGGTAAACCTCATACGTTACGACAAGCAAAGGCAGAGAAAGGATTTTAATTCTATGCTGCTTGTCAAAACTGGGGGGGAAACCACCATCAACAACCCAATGTGTTGGGTTTTTTTTAAGTGGGTGCGTTTTGCACCCATTTCTCACCCCCTTGCACACCAGTTCTGTCAAAACTCTTCTGACATTTCTTGAGTTTTCACCCCCTTTTTTTCTTTGAAGACTCCCTGTTGTTTTGTTTTGATTCCTAAAAGATTTAAGCACTTCTTTAAAAAAAAAAAAAATTCCATCACACCAAAGATTCTCTTTGCCATAAATAGAAAGACTTTTCCTGCTGAAATGTAGGCTTATAATTTTAGAGCGTAAACTGATTTAGGAATTAAGGTTGATTCGGTTTAAGTGGGGGCTTACCTCTGAGTAAACAGGCACAGGAGGAGGGCAGGGACCCCCTGACTGGGTGTGCAGGATCGCTATCTGGCACAGGAGGTTTGTTCATTAATTGATCAACAGGGGGCGTGAGGGAGCCGCGCGCAGGCTTTGAACCCGGAACCATTTCATATTTAATATAATAATATACAACTATTTACTTACAAAATACAAAAATAGAAGCACCTTTATCATATGGGGTAGACAGCCAGAACCTGGCCTAATTTTTTTTTTAAATTAAAAATGTTAATTGGTTTCCGTTGTTACTTTTAGGATCTAAGCAAAAAAGCAAATAAACAGTTAAAAAAACACAATAGCACCTTTCCCCACCCACCCCCTTTTAAGCTCCTGACGCTCCATGTGGGTTGCAGCTGAGACCTCAGTGAAGACACCAGCTTGAGCGGCTGTTGTTATTCCTGGCAGATGGTCTTGTGTGTCCTTCCCGTGACGGGAAGCGTCTTCCACTGATGTCAGCGTGGCGGTCGAAGGAGCTGGCCGAGGTCACGTTTCATGGCCGGCTTGTTTCCGACGGAGAGGAGCAGCCGTACTTTCAGGCAGAGAAAGCTGGGGGGCGAGGGGAGGCTCTCTAAGAGGAAGAATAGCGAGGGGACACAGGGAGGAAGACCTTGCATTGGCCAACTGGTTGGAGGGGGCGACATGCCTTTAGGTCATGTGATTCTGGATCCTGCAGGGGGGGGAAAGAAGAGTCCCCCCTCGTTGACCGGGTCCCATCGTTGGTCCCATCGTTGACTGGGGTGTGGCGGCAGTGGCGGGGGCTTCATCGGACTTGGGATCTGACGGCAGACGGGGACTCAGGCGAGACAAAGACACACAACAGGGACCCATCAAGATGTCCAGTTTCACAACACGCACGTGACGGTGACCAAAATAAAAATTAAAAAAATAAAAAGGTAGCCAAAAAAACAGAAGGCGCCATCATGAGGTTACGAGGTTGCTCATTTGGAGGCTAGTCTTCGGAGTGGCTTTTAGCCCATGAAGCAAGCCGGTCCCACCTCAAATCCAAACTTCTGCGAGGCCTCTCCAAAGTCGTTAAACATGATGTCCACGATGGGCACCTGTTCCACTTTGGGGGTGTTGATTTCTAAGACGGTCTTCTGGTAACCCTTCTTGGTCTGGGGAGGGGGAAGGAAAAGCAAAAAAAAAGGGGGGGTGAGCCGGCGGAAGAGGCGACGGGTTGTGGGTCAAGCTCCCGAACCCCCTGAGGCGATTGGATTGGACGGATTTATATTTATATTTATAAACAATGGGGCGGAAGGTTCCCAGAAGTTCAGCCATATCTCTGGGTAGTGCTGGAAAAAGCACTCCATTCTTTGTTTAAGGAGAACGAAAAGCACGGACGTGCTTAAAACGAGGACTTGAGAGAGTCAGGGCCTTCTTGGGGGGGGTGGGGGGCTCCCAGGTGACCGGATGCTCTCCCTTGGGTGGCCAGGCTGCCCCCCCTCCCCTCTCCCTTTTATCCTTCTGTTGACCACCCACCTTTCCTGGCAAGCTTTGAACCATCAGGATTGAATCCCTGAATGCCTTTTGAAAGTTACTTTTTAAATGCTGACTTGCTTTTAAGTATTTAATTGTAATTTAATTAGCATAGAATTTAAGATTTTTTAAAGCTTACTATTCTGTTTAATATTTTAATTTTTAATATTCTTTTTAGCCAGCCAGCCAGCCAACCAACCAACCAGCTCTCTTGCCCTCAGCCTCACTGGGATGGATTTAGAGGCAGTGCGAGGGTTGAGGTGGGATCCGGGCACCGCCGTGGGCTCTCTGGGGACCCTGGAAGGCTCCTGGCAGAGTGGCCCTTCCTTCCCCCCCCCCGCACAAGCCAAGGACAGGTCCCTGAGAGGACGCCCCAAACGCCCTTGCCTTCACCTCCCACCAAAGAGTGCAAACGTTCCGGACAGACAGACACTCACTGCACAGCCATCAAGGGCCGCCCGGATGAAAGGATTGTTGTCGTAGGACATCTCTTCGTCGTTGGAGCCCAGGAAGCGGATGGCCTTGTCGTAGTTGCCGGCCGTGGCGTCGTGCCACGCCACGGACTGGAAGCAGTTGTAGGTGATGTTCTGGTGGGCGGCCGCGCTCAGCAGCCTCAGGAAGGTCATCTGCACCACCCCGATGGGGTTGCCCTCTGAATCGACGTAGGACAGCTAAGGAGAAGAGAAGAGAGAGGACTAGGAGGAAGCGGGGGCCGGGGTGGGGATGATGGGATTTGCAGTCCCTTCCAGGGTGGGGAAGAGAGCACAGGAAGAGCAAAACTGCCTCTCCCATCACCTTGGCCTCTTACTCGTGGGAGACCCTTCAAAGCCAAACTGAACTATAGGAAGAGCAAAACCGCCTCTTAGTCATGGGAGACCCTTCAAAGCCAAACTGAACTAGGCAGCTCCTCAGACTTCCACGGAGGCGAGGAAGGATGTCTACATTTTGAGTTCACAGCCTTTTCCCCCCAAAAGCATCGTCGTTAGCTGTCGGAAGATAAACGGGGCCTAAAGACAGTAACGTTTGGGATGGCTAATTTTGAACCCCACTACAGTCTGTTCAATCTGCACTTTGTACTCTAAGGGGGTCTAAACTTCACGCCTAAAATCAGAAAACTCAAAACTAAGAAATAAAATGCACAATTTAAACGGGTGTCCCACAAATGTATATTAATCAACGCCACAAGAAGGACAGAGGTCTCCTGCTTAACAATCAGGCCTAATATCCCATTTCTGCTCTGAAGCAGACCCAATGAATCAAATATATAATATATAATAGCCATTTGAATAAATCCTACGGATTCGACAGGACTGCTCACTGCATCCAGGCCTAAATCAGGAGATCATCAAAAGCTAAAAAAGGTTGGATAAAGTCGAAAGATTTTTAAATGGAGGTCTAGAGATATTCCAACTGTTGTGGGTCTGCCCGGCATCTCCTGGAAGGATTTTCGGCAATTATTGCGCTGCCTCAGAAAAGGGGCTTGAAGGATTCCCCTCTTGGAAAGGCAAAAAGGGATTTGGATGAAGGAATTTTGTGTCCACGGAAGAGGAAGGTATCAGAGGCTCTTGCTGCCTTCTTCCACTCTGCGCTAGTTTCAAACCATGAGAGACGCAACGGGGTGCAGATCCAGAAGGTCCCTGGGGGGGCCCACCCATTCCACCAAGAGAACGGTGTGGAGTATAAAGGAAGGGGTGTGTGTCTGTGCTAGGAACAGCCTCGAGGGGCTCACGGTCAAGGAAACAGCACCAAAACAAAGCGTACTAAGGAAGAAAGAACATACCAACCGTTTTTGACTGGACTGCTCTCCATTTTTTGGTCTTGAGAGGTCAAGGAGACTGACTAAGGTGGGCTGAGCATGCCGGGTGAACAAGCAAAGAAAGGGTTTCCGGCACCTAGAAGACGGGCGTACCCCAACGGGCCGATGGATTAATAGGCGACCAGGGCTCCAGTTCAACCCCTTCTGGCTAGGCGAGGTGGGTGGCAAGGATGGGTCTCACCTGAGAGGTGGCCCCCCCCCAGGAGAGGATGGAGCAGATAATGGGCCGGAAGAGGCAGTGAGGTTCATTTAAGCTCTCGTGAGAGTCATGAACATGTTCTGGGGCTGGGGGCAGCCGGGGGGGGGAACGTGAGGTGAAACACAAGGTGTGTATCAACGCCCTTCCCTCTTTCCCTCTCTAAAATGGAACCACGCGGTGCAGAGAAAGAAAATTAACTCCTCCTCATGGTCTTGGAGAGACTCGAAAACTTTCAGATTATGTCTTCCTATCTTCACAGCTAACCAAACAGGTTTTTTTTTTGGGGGGGGGGAGAAATCAAGGATTTCAGTACCAAAGCGGTGTACCTTATTCAGTGGGGTTTTCACCAAAATTGCACCTCGGCCAAAATTTGGGGCCACGTTTTAAGACAAAATTTTTGGAGCAGCAAAGGAAGTTTGGGCAAGTCACGAGACCTCTGGGGCTGGAAAGGGGTCGACCAGGCGCCTGATCGGTGCACAGAAATAATTTTGTGGCCGCCTTTTGTACCGTCTTCTAGATGCTGGTCAGGATTCTGCATACAAGGAGCAATACTTACGCAGAGCAGGAGAGAGAGAGAGAGCCGCGTGAAAAGAGAGAGAGAAAAGAGCAGCATTTGAGGCTTTTAGCAAAATACAACGGTGCCAAGCAGAGGTCCCGATTCCCTCCCCCTCCCCCCCCCACTGGAAATGTCCACGTGTGACAGACAGAGCGCCACAAGGGAGACCAGAAGATGGGGGTGGTGGGGACACGCACAGATTAGTAGTGGGGTGAGTCGGAGAATGTGACAACTCCCCTTTCCAGGAAAAAGACTCTAGAGACATTCCCCTCCCCAAAATAAGGTTCGCTATCAGCCACAGCACAAAAGCCTTCTCTCTGGCACGTACCAAACCAGGAATATCCTGCCAAAGGGGATGGGGGACAGAGCTGGTTTTAAATAATGTTTTTAAGGTAGAAGGTCACGAAAAGCCATGGGAAGGATGGGTTCCTGACCCGCCCGGCTTGTTTCCGAAGAGTCATTAATTCTTCACCTTCCTCGCAGGGCATTTGAGGCATCATGAAAACAGCGAGCAGTTGGTTTGGAAACCTAAGATGCCATCGAATGGTGAGAAAGGACAGCGTCGGATCACACCGGAAAAGGGGGCTTCGCTGGGAGCCGTCTCTCTTAAAGCAACCAACCCCATAGGAAGGGATTATATCCAAGATGGAGCTGTGAGACTAAGGACCTGAATTCTACGGGGTGCCAAAATAGGCCATAGGACTCCCTGATCTTCAGGATCCATATCCACTGATTCACTTACTCACGGTCTGAAAATATTTAGAATGTTAAAAAATCCTAGAAATGTCTATTTCTCAAGGCAAAGTTACCAGAACTGGCCACTAGAGGAGGCCAGAGACCATGCTATGGACAGCATTGGCTATAATCCATCTTTTTCACCATCCCTGGGGGGGTGGGAGGGCTTGGAACGAATCCCCCCGAGGATACGGGGGTCCTACTGTACCTTCAAGAGAGCATGAGAACGCCCTTGCTCTCTTGGGTGGCAGAGAGGGGGGGTGGTTCCTCCTGCAGAAGGATGGCCTCTTTCCATACAAGCCTGCCTTGAATTTGAGACCTTCAGCTCTGGCCCCATTGCGGATCCCACCCCCATAAGAAAATAGGACATGTATCCATGACAGGGGCTTCTCGGCAGCACAACCTCGGCTATGAGATCCTCTCTTGCCCCAAACCAGCCTGGCTTCATCCCAATTCAGCTCCTGCTTTAACGGCCTAAAGTGTATCCTTCTGCAAGCAAGTGTATTTTTAAAACCACTTTTTAATCTCTTTCCGAAGAACACTTTCATATGTTTTTAATATATCTTGCTAGTGGGGAAGGCTGAGAAGAAAACTGCTCAATATATTTTAACTTGTTTTTATATGTCTGTTTGGTCTGTTTCATAGACCTTTTCTTGCTCAGAGTCCTGATGGGCATCTGATAATTACTTTTAACAAAAGGGGGCCACGATCCTGTAAGGCAGCTCAGCAACCAATGCCTTGATAAAGAGCTGGAATTCACCACTGCAACTTATCCGATTTCACTGACTTGGGAGCAAAATCCTAGAGGATGAATAATAATAATAACAGGAAGCCTTCCACGAGGCATGAAGGCAACGGGGCGGCCGCCCCACCTTCCAGCTGAAGCCTGTCCCTCGGCCCTCCTTCGGCTCCTCCTAACGGTGCTCATTAGTCCGTGCATAGAGTGAGGTCAGTGGGGGCTTTGTGGGAAAGCGTGCATGGCGTGATCCAGCTCCGAGACGGAGAGAGCCGAAAGCGGACCCACTTACCAAGGACCCCCTCTTGAAATGACTAAACCACGTGGCGGGCTGCTCTTTGGGCCACCGGGCCATTTTACTCTGCAAAACACGAGAGGGGTTAAAGCCCAAACAGAAAGCCGGGAGCCGGCGCCTCTTACCAGTTTACCGCGCTTGAATTCACTGAACCAGGAGCCCGGGATTTCCTTTGGCCACGAAGTAATTCTAGCCTGGACATGGCGGAAGCGGTGGGATAGGCAGCAGAGGAACAGAGACAAGACAAAAACAAATATTTATACTCAATGGCAAACTCGCAGCCCCTCTCAGGCACTGCAGAGATTCCTATGGTGAGTCTCTCTCTCTGTGGTCCAAATCCTGACTCTGGTGTTGAGTTGGTGGGGTGGGAGAGGTTGTAGGAAACAGCAGAGAGAAGGCGAGCCAGCTAGATCTTCAGGGTCTCTGGATCCCCACCACCATCACCACTGGGAAACCTTTACACCATTGCTGGAGATGTCGTAACTTATTTCCAATGGAATGGACAGGATGCCTACTAGGAGCTTCTGAGGACAGAGCCAGGACTGAGGCTACTGAAGTTCCCACGATAAACCACACCAACCCAAATGTTTGCCTTCCCCTGACTCTTAAACTATTAGGGACCCCAGTCCTCCAACAGAGGGCAGCCGCTCCGGAGTGCTTCCCGCCTGCTATCAAGAGCCTGGAAGAAGCCAGAGAGATCAGAGGTTGCAGCACTGGGGAGGCCCAGCCTGAAGCTAAGTGAAAGTCACCAGTAAATGGGGAGAGGGGCAGAGAAAGGGCAGTCTTGGCAACCATGGCACAGAAAATTCCTGCCCCCTTTTCCTTCCCAGGACTAGCAGGACTGACACCTTCTTTCTCGGAACTGTTCTTCAAACAGGGTAAAGGAAACACTTGACTTCTAAGCTCCCTTTTGCAACAGATGCCTTTAAAATTATAATGGCAACACCCTTCTAAATACAAAGCAGGGATCTCTCTGTGTCTTGATCAAAAGAATGGGGTGGCATACACAAATAACTCTACGTGTGAGCCTGTGATGCAAACAAAGTCATCCACTAGGGGGCGATTTCTGCTAATGAAAGACTTCCTCCTTCTGTCCACGCTGCACCCAAGGCTACAATAATGAAATGGATTATTCACAAGTCAGGCAAGATCCAGGATTGAAAGGGGGAGTCTTTAGTCAGCAAAAATCTCCTCCTGCTGGTGACGTCATCACTTTTCCACAGGTTATTTATTTCAACAGCAGGATTTCAACTGCATTGTCTATGCACCAACCCTTTCTGAGTAAGCAACGCGAGGCCATCTTCTATTTCTTGACCTCAGATTCAAAAAAACAGGAAGTGAGGGCACCCAGGATGGTCCCAAAACAAGAAGAAAGCCACTTATGAGCTCCCAACACTTCACAAAATACTTTCTACATGGAAGAACGAAAAAAATTGAGAAGACCAGTGAGGGAAGGGAAGAGGTACTTACTCCTTCTGATTTCTTATCTGGGAAAATGCAAGTTTCACCACCAGCTGTGAAATTACAGTAAACTTTGAAGGAATCTCTGGAGCAACCTTGATTAGGATCCACCCAGTATTCACCTGGAGTCGGGAGACCAAAAGGTTAATTTTTTTTAATTAAGGAAAAACAAATCACCAATCACTTGAATCCAGGATGGATTATGGTTTACAAGTATGGTACGTGGGGTCTTCAATGAATTTAATTATAAAATTCAGCAGTATATGAGGATGCTTTAATGCAACCCGCCCCCCAAAAAGTTTATTTTTGGAATTTACTGTGCTCAATAAAGAAGAATAAATAACAAAACAAAAGGGTAATAAATAAAGGTCAGAATCCTGTTGAAACAGCTCTGCATGCAGAAGGCTGAGGACCCTGTAAACCTTCTTTTAACTTTAATTAACAAAACTTGGCCATACATCATGCCCAATATAATTTTTAGAAGCACAGGAACTGCAACTTTCGAGGCATGGTGGACAATTTCAGAAGGGCATCGCCGTTTCTTTACTTCCCCCGAACGGACCTCGCTACGCGCGCTTAAAGAACGACCCACGGCCTACCGTCAGGGAAGTCCGGGTGGCAAAGCTGGAGGTCCTTGCAGGTGCGGGCCGGGTTGTGTTGAGTGCCCAACGGATGCTTCATCTGCTCGATTTCCAGTTTCAAAGAGTTTAAGGAGCCAAAGATCTCCTCCATGCCGTCGGCGTAATCCATGTAGTTGTCGGCTGGGGCGTCGTCCACCAGCTGGCTGGCGTCGATGTTCCTCCGGGTCCGCTTGGAGGACTGGATCGGAAGGGGTTGGATGACATCCCCGGGAGGGCCCTTGTGTGGAGGAAGGCGGCAACGAGGTGAGAGCAAAGCGAGAGGCAGAAGATGCCAAGGAAGGGGACCATAACTACACTGCTGATGACTTTGGAGGGCGGTGGACGAGAGGGGTTGCAATGTAAATGGGAACCTCCCTCTATCGGAGATCCTGTGGCAGTGAGTTCCACAGCTTGGAAGAGGCTTTCACTCAGCGACTTCCCTACTGAGGTTCAGGGGATTCTGTCATACTCACAGGAGGCCCTGGCGGTCCAGGGTGTCCCATTTCTCCTTTCGGACCTGTGGGTCCCTGGAACGAAGACCAAGAAAGAGGTGTTATGAGTCAGGGAGATTGCACAGAGTAGACGTTGAAAAAGTAGATGTTGCAGCCAGCCGCTTGGAATGCCTGGCAGGGAAAGCCCACCAAGGGGGCAGCCTGGAAACAGCAACCCCTCACCGCCCAAAAAGAGGGTCAGGCCAAAGCCAGCACTTACCGACGACCCTTTAGCACCTTTCGGACCAGGCGGGCCCTAGAAGGGGGAAAGGGCCGAAGCCGCAGAGTTAGGGAGTTCAACAAAATTGGAAAATAAATAAATAAGAACAGAAATAAATAACCGAACCAGCCGGCATCCAGGTCAGATATTGATTAAAAGAAACCCTTTTGGATTCCCCTCCCATCCTGCCCAGCTCATTAATTATGTTTACATCTCAGCCGTCCTTGAAGGCCAATGGGAAAAATAATCTGCTCAGCCTTTTTAAACAAATGCAGGTTTACTGAGGCCCCTTTGGATGAAACCTATTCATCTTTCAGAGCCGGTGGAAATGCTGAGCGATGCATTCCTTGTCCTTGTGGGCAAACTCTGGGGGAATTGACTATGGGGATCCGGGGAAGACGAGGAAAACCAAGAGGCTTCCCTTCGGGCAGAGCCCCGAGCCTCAATACCGCTTTCTTTCCTTTGTAGCCTTGGAAAAGGGGGTGCTTTTCTCATCCCCTGCTTTTGGGGAAACATACATACCGGTAGCCCCGGAGGGCCTGGAGGGCCGATCGGACCCGAAGGACCCGGAATGCCCTACGGAAAGAGCACAAGACACATTTAAGCACTTGCTACCGATCGGGAATTTCAAGGCAGGAACAAGGCAGCATTGCAGTTAGAAGGTGATAAAACCTCACTCGTGCAAGTCAGTCTAGCTGGTTTTGGCAGAACATCAAGGATCGACCGAGGGACTTTTCATGGATGCTCAGAGGAAGATGCCCACCTGCTCTCCTTTGGTTCCAGATGTTCCCTGAGGACCCGGCAAGCCTCGGTCTCCCTTCTCGCCTTGCTCACCGGGAGGCCCAATCAAACCGATCAAACCTGGATGACCCTAAAAAGAAAAAAGAAAATATATATTTAGATTAAGAGTCTCAGGCTGCAAGGCTGAGAAGATGACATGCCTTTGCCTTGCCCACTTTCAAGGTCTTGTTTGGGAGCAGGTATTTATCTTCTCGATTCAAAGTCTCACCTTTTCTCCTTTAGGTCCAGAATCTCCCTTCAAGCCTGGTAAACCAGGTGGACCCTTGGAAGAGAGAAAGAGAGAGAGAGAAAGACTCACACAAAAGAACAAATCCAATACCATAAATAAATATCATCATCCATAAATTTATTCTGGAGGCAAACTAAAATGGCATTCAAAAGCTGAATTGGAGTTGAATTGACAGAATCTGAGGCTCATAGAACCACAGAACAGTGGAATTGGAAGGGGGCCTCAAAGGCCATCCAGTCCCACCCCCTGCTCAAGGCAGGGATCCCAATCCGAGCCAATAAATCCAATACCATAAATAAATATCATCATCCATAAATTTATTCTGGAGGCAAACTAAAATGGCATTCAAAAGCTGAATTGGAGTTGAATTGACAGAATCTGAGGCTCATAGAACCACAGAACAGTGGAATTGGAAGGGGGCCTCAAAGGCCATCCAGTCCCACCCCCTGCTCAAGGCAGGGATCCCAATCCGAGCCGATCAGACCGAGGGCGGTTGGCCAATGTTCTCTTGAAGGCCTCGAGTGCTGGAGCTGCAATAATATGGGGCAGGCCCCCACCCGTACTGCAAACACATAAGAAAGCCATCTTGTTAAGCTTCTTAACTCCAACCGCTTACACGGAAACGTCCGCGTTCAGCCCCAACATGGACAAACAGACCCACGGTGACCTGGCCAGACCTACCATTGGTCCAGGGGGCCCATCGGGGCCTGGTGCGCCCGGAAGTCCTTGCTCTCCCTGTGAAACAGAGATTCGTTATTTGCATTAATAGGCTATCGTTCTCATCCTCACCTTGGCCTTCTTCTATTCTACCCACATCATGAGAAACACAGGAACCTGCCTTAGGGGTGTGTGTGTGTGGGTCTCTGCTCCTAGCTTCATCTCATGCATGCCTCTCTCTGTGTGTGTGTGTCTGCTTGCACCGTGAGAGGCAACCTCTAACCCGCTCAGCCCTCGCTGCTCCTCTGGGTCCGGCTTCTGCCCCATTCCCAGGCTTCACCCTTCAGCCTCTCTGGGAGTTTTGGAAGCTGGTCTAACTGTGGATCCCGCATAGGCATGGGTGCCCCCCCCCAGACGGTGCTCCCAGAGAGCTCCGGGATCTGGAAGAACCGGCTGCCCCGCACCCTCGGGAGCCTCTGCCCCCCCCCAATTCCTGACTCGTCCCGATACTCACGACTGGTCCAGGGATTCCCCGGAGTCCGTCTGGACCTGGTTTCCCCGGAGGCCCCTGAGGGCCAACGGGGCCCGTTTTCCCAGGAGGGCCTTCCAGGCCAGCTTCACCCTGAAGACGAGAAGCAGAAAGAATCAAAGATGCTGCCGATGCCGGAAAACCGTGGAAAACCCCTCCCCCCATTGGCGGTGGTTGGAAAGTCTTCTCCCCGGAGAACGCCGGAGAGCTTTACCTTGGCCCCTTTCTCCCCTTGCCGGCCTTCAGGACCTGCTGGCCCGGGTGGACCCTAAACGGGACAAAACAGAGAAGAGAAAAGGGGGTGTGGGTGGAGGAAAGAAGGGGTGCCCTTGGGCTCACCGGGAAGGACTGTGGAGATGGAGAACTTGAGACGGGCACGAAGACAACTTACCCTTTTCCCTGGTGGACCTGAAGGGCCCGGCTCTCCCGTTGGACCAGGGGAACCCTGAATTTAGGAGAGAAAAAGAAGTCAGCTCCCGATTCTTCCCTCCCTCTGGGGTTGCCCGACCCAACAGACTGAACCGCGGATGAGAAAAGCTGAACCCACAGCCAGCTATGGCTCAGGAGCCACGACAGGTGGACGGGAAACCTGCTTCCCTTATTAGACTTTTGATCAAAATGCCTCCTTGCTCACCTGAATGGGGACTCTTCACGCTGCATGCCATGAGACACCCACCCATTGATAAGCTTGCAACTGAGGGATGCTTAGGTTTGAAAAACGGCCACAAAGGCTCATTTCACGGGAAGAAAAGCATCCGTGTTTCGTATTATGGACCCGGAAAGGCACGCACCTTTTCCGGTGGGGAAAGTAAAATCCAAAATGCATTGGGCTGTGTGTGTTGATGCAATCAAATACGAACTTCAAGGTGGAGCATTTTAATGTGGTCATATTTTTTGGCTTGTTCACTCCCCCTTCCAGCTGTAACACTTGTATTTTGTTTGTTTAAAACCATTATTGAACGTCACCTTGAACCCCTAACCGACAGAGGGGCCTGGTCCATGTTTACATTTACTCACCGTCTGGCCAGCTTCACCATCATCGCCTTTATCACCAGGAGGACCATCCTGGCCCTAAAGAGGGAAAAAAAAAGAGGAAAAGGCTTCTTCACATTTCCCATTCACTCTTTCTATGCTTTTCGAGAGCAACATTTCTGAAGAATATCCTGATGCATCTAAGTGGCTAATTCTTAAGCACAAGAGGTTCAGAAACAAATTGCAGGCCACTATTAAAATGACAAGGTCACTTGTAAAACTATAAATCTCCTGCAGGAGGTCCCGGAGTCAGTTAGGGGTCAGGGAATTTTGGAAGGTGCAAACCCATTTCTCGAAAAAAAAAATCAGCATTTCCGAAATCTCAGCCCTGAGCCCTCCCTGTTCAAGTGTCTAACCTTCAGGAAGGACCAAGGAAGAGACCCAAATACACGGGGAACCATTCTCTCCATAAAAGCTTATGACTCCGTCATTTGCTGCAGGAAAGAATTGATCCTACGCACGTTTACGAGGGAGTAAAGTTCACGAAAGCAACTGGGACTCAGTTCCAGAGGAGAAATCAGAAAGAGAGAAAGAGGACTTCGTGACCAGTACTTACAGGCGGGCCGGGTTCGCCTGGAGGACCCGGATCGCCAGGGAATCCAACAGGACCCTGCAGAGAGGAATGGGAAAAAAACCAAAACATGATGTACAGATGTTTCCTGAGCAAATCCGAAGGGAGACGTACGCTGCAGACCCGAAGTCTGAAGAAGGAGTGACAGATTTGGCAACAGCCCGGTCGCAAAAGCCAGGGCGTGCAAAGAGTTTCGGTTCCATGAAACGGAGCCTCGTCCGGTGACCCGAGAAGGACATCCAAACATCCCGTTTGAAGAAGCAGAGTTCGTCAGCCAGGTTTTCGGGGGAATTTCTTCAGCCGTGGTGGACGGACGGACGGACGAGACTCGAGCGAAAGGATACACTCGTGGGGACGAACCGGCCCAGAGGAAGCCTGTTCTAAATCAGGCACGCAGCTGAGCGTCCCTGGTCTGGGCCGCCTGGGCGAGGGGTTGAAAGCCTCAAAAGTGCCCACCGCGAGACACCAAGGGCAGCACCGTCCAACGAGCAAGCTGGCCAGGGCAGGGGCGCGGACAATCCAAGCCCCTGGGAGGAGCAAAACCCACTCACAAAGAAGGGCGCAAGGCCAGGCGAACCACAGGACCAACCAAGCCCAGCGCACGGCGAGTCACGGGGGTGTGGATCCAGGTGCGAGGGAAGCCCCTCTCCTTTTCTGAGGGGAGGCAGGCAGGGTTACTTACGGGACTGCCTTTGGGGCCGTCATCACCGGGAGGACCCTTCGGGCCGGGCGGACCTGCAGCCCCGGAGGGACCCGCTTCGCCCTTTTCGCCTCTCTCTCCTTTGGGACCCTGGGCGAGGGAAGAAGAAGAAGAAGAGGAAAGACGGGGTCACATTTCTCAAGCCGGGGTCCTTTCTGAGAGGCAGCCCGAGGAGGGAAGGGGAGCCCAGCCCCCAGGTCCCTTCCCCTCTTGGCGCCCGCACTCGGTTCCCTGTCGTGCCCCCGCAGTGCTCACAGGAGACAGGCGTCTGCCCAGACCGGGTGCCTCGTCAGGCTTTGATCTGGATTCCTGAGTGCAGCAGGGGGTTGGACTGGATGGCCTTAAGCTGCCCCCGCAGCGCTCACAGGAGACAGGCGTCTACCCAGACCGGGTGCCTCGTCAGGCTTCGGTCTGGACTCCTGAGTGAAGCAGGGGGTTGGACTGGATGGCCTTAAGAGGCCCCTTCCAGCTCCCTGATTCGAGGATCCTGGGATAATGACTGTACTCAGTTCAACATGCAGACAGCAAGGGACTGCTGGCCCACAGCGCTTTCTTTCCAACCCTTAAAGTTCATGGCAAAAGGGTTGGGTCTGTTGGCTGCCTCTCAGCTCGATCTAAGAAATGCAGGCTTAGCAGCCTGAGGGGCCAAGACTTCAACGGATCCAGTCAAGGCAGATGGGAAGTGCCTGAGGGACACAGGGGCCAAGACTCCAACGGATCCAGTCAAGGCAGATGGGAAGTCCAGAGAGGGTGGCACCTCCAGAGACCTACCAAGGCTTCACTCCACTCCACAGCATGGTACAACCTTTCCCATCACCCCCCCGGGTGCATTTACGGATGCTCAGGACTTTTGTGGACCACTTCCGAAGCATTTAGGATGGGCCTCGTGAATGACACAGGGGCCAAGACTCCAACGGATCCAGTCAAGGCAGATGGGAAGTCCAGAGAGGGTGGCACCTCCAGAGACCTACCAAGGCTTCACTCCACTCCACAGCATGGTACAACCTTTCCCATCACCCCCCCGGGTGCATTTACGGATGCTCAGGACTTTTGTGGACCACTTCCGAAGCATTTAGGATGGGCCTCGTGAATGCTCTGGCCACGATCAGCCAAGAAGCGCCCACCATACCTGACCATGCTTGGAAACCTCGTTATGGCCCTGCAGCTCCTTCGGGAACTCAACCTCTTTCCTTTCATTTCATTTCCCAATGGACATTTCTGAAAAGGTCCCCACTTACTGGTGGTCCACCGTCTCCAGGCAGGCCAGGCTCCCCAGCTTCTCCAGGCTCTCCCTGTAAAGGTGGGAAAAAAACATGAAACATGAACCCATATGCCTTTGCATCTCACATGGAGGAAGCGCTGCCCTCCAGCCCCCTTGTTCTCTGTCCCATATGCCTTTGCAGCTCACATGGAGGAAGCACTGCCCTCCTGCCCCCCATGCCTCTTCCCCTTGGTCTCTGTCGCATATGCCTTTGCATCTCACGTGGAGAAAACACTGCCCTCCAGCCCCCCATGCCTCTTCCCCTTGTTCTCTGTCCCATATGCCTTTGCATCTCACATGGAGGAAGCGCTGCCCTCCAGCCCCCCAAGCCTCTTGTTCTCTGTCTCATATGCCTTTGCATCTCACGTGGAGAAAGCACTGCCCTCCAGCCCCCCATGCCTCTTCCCCTTGTTCTCTGACCCTTGAGGCAATCCAAGCCTAACGAAACTGAACTGAAAGGTCTCTGACTCAACTCATGGTGCTCCGTTCCCCTTCCCATTTTGGACAGCAAAGCTCTTCCATTCCATAGTCCAAGGGCTTTCTTGAACTCGCGATCCAACATGCTGGACATTCCACGCATGAATTCTTACAAGGTCAGAATATGCAACCCCATCTCTTGACAAACGTTTTCTGGCTACGGGCAGCTTGGGGGTTGGAGAAGGGAAGTGGGGTGGACCCTTGAGGCTTGTAAGACTTTTGCCGAGGAAAGCCAGAGAAAAGGGAATAGAGGCATTCTCCTCCGAAGGTTGTGGGGGGCCCTGATGTTCCCAACCTACCGGCGTTCACCAAGCATTGGCTTTTCACCCAGACGCCTACCCTGCAAGGCGATCCGTGCTCACACCCCTTTGGTGAATCCACCCCAAGGCCGTTGTTGATCCGCTCTCTCTGACACCCGAGTAAACCATCCCCGGATTCCTGTCCATCTCCTGCTCTTGGACCCCCCCCCCAAAAAAGCGGCTTCGGCTTACCTTTTCACCCACGGACCCCGGGTTTCCAATTCCGCCAGGGGGCCCTTGTGATCCATCGGCTCCTGGGGACCCAGATGGACCTCTCGGCCCCGGGGGACCAGGAGGACCCTGGGTTTGGAGGTGGGGTGGGGAAGAGAAAGCAGACGGCCCCCCGTTAGTAGAAAGATACGCCTTTTGGATCACAAACATTCAGAGGAAAACAACCTCACAACTATGCTGTATGTTTTCGAACAAGGGCTTACCATTTGACCAACATCCCCAGTTTCTCCCTTCTCACCAGGAGGTCCAGGTAAACCCTGTGGAGAGAATTGGGAAGACGGTTTCAAATCAATCAATCAATCAATCAATCAATCAATCAATCAATCAATCAATCAATCAATCAATCAATCAATCAATCAATCTATCTATCTATCTATCTATCTATCTATCTATCTATCTATCTATCTATCTATCTATCTAGGGGCTGTATCATCACCCATCATCCTCTTTAAAGGTAGCACACCCTGCTTGAAAAGGGAATGCTTAGACCAGCAAACCTATTTGCTTTCTTGGGGAGGGTGGGTGGGAATCAGGGCTAATTTTAAGTCTTTGGGTCTGAGTCCTGAGTTCGAGACTTTGGTACCAAGTCCCAAGCTCAAATCTGAGTCCCTATTAGAAACAAGCTTTCCCCCCACCAAAAAAAGGGAGGGGGTGGGTCGGTTCCGAGTCCCAAGTCAAGTCAGAGTCACTGAAAAACAAAACAAACAAACAAACAAAAAAACCCTGAATCGAGTCGCCGGTGTGACTTCGGTCTGACTTGGAGAGCGACTCCCCCTCCCTGATTGTCACGATCTTTGCAAAACCAACGCCACCCCTAAAACCCTGACTCGAGTCGCTGGTGTGACTTCGGTCTGACTTGGAGAGCGACTCCCCCTCCCTGATTGTCACGATCTTTGCAAAACCAACGCCACCCCTGTCCCGTGTTCCCGCTTCATGCAAAACTTCTGGCATCCGCTAAAAACATGGCTTTGGGTTGCCAATATCTTGTCGTTCCCACAGATGTTAAGATCTGCACGGGCACGTGTCGATTTGTTCCCCTTGGCTTCACCCCCGGGGAACACGGGAAGGGACGGCCTTCCCTTCTGGCGAGCAGGAGGAGGGAGGCCTCTCCTCAGGCGACCCTCCTTTTCTGGAATTCCTGATCTGCTTAGCCTGGAGCAAAGCCCATCGTGAAGCCCTGCACGCTCTGAGCACCGCACGGCGAGGCAGGGAGGAAAGAAGGAGATTTCCAAACCCTGTCGCTTTGGCCGGGTGCAAATCTTCTCCTGGAGCAAAGCCCATCGTGAAGTCCTGCATGCTCTGAGCACCGCACGGCGAGGCAGGGAGGAAGGAGATTTCCAAACCCTGTCGCTTTGGCCGGGTGCAAATCTTCTATCCAAGGAGTTGGGGGGAAAAAACGTTGGGGTTACCTGCAATCCAATGGGTCCCGGCGGTCCGGGGAAACCTCGGGGTCCTTCATCTCCTTTCTGGCCGAAGAGACCTTGTTGCCCTCGAGGGCCGGGTTCCCCATCAGCTCCCTGGAGGAGGAGAAAACAACAACAACAACAACAATGGGAACGTTTCATACACCCAGGAGAATCTTCACTAGAAAGCGCAGGATGAGATACAGCAGGAACACGGACGTTGATAGATTTCACAGAGTGAAGGATCATCTCTCTGACAAGATCCAACTCGCCCAAAGGATAGACAAAACAGGATCCTGTAAGTCATCAATTCAGAGGATGGAGCCCTGGATCAGAGTGTGATGGGAGGGGCTTTCATGGGAAGCACCCCCACCTGCTCATCCTACACCCATCTTGGAAAGGGCCATGTCTCAGTCCACTGGAGGACCAGACCCCAAGTTACCGTATTTTTCGCACCATAAGACGCACTTTCCCCCCACAAAACAGGGGGGTGGAAAGTCTATGCGTCTTATGGAGAGAAGAAAACAGATTATATTTTCCTGTTTTCTTCTCCTAAAAAAATGGTGCGTCTTATGGAAAGGTGCGTCTTATGGAGCGATACGGGTAAATAAACTGTGGGAGATGTGCCACAGACCTCTAGACGGTTTACATTTCTAAAGTCCCGCTGTCATCCATTATTAATTGAAAAAAGGGAGCACGGCGAGACCCCTGTCGTATAGCAGTAAGCATGAACGTGCAGGTAACCACGAGAACATTCTCAACTTTTCTTCTGTAGGCACAGGACCACCCAGGGACTGCCCTGATGTCTCACGGGAGGACTGCGGTACCCACGGGATCAGTATCAGCTGATTCACTTATCCCTGTATCCAACCCCCCCTGGATTGTACCGGGGGGAAAAGACCCGCGATCTAGAAGGAGGAAGAGAAGCCGCCATACTTACAGCCGGACCGGGTTGGCCGATGGGGCCTTGCGGGCCGATAGGACCTGGAGGACCCTGGCAAGAGACAGAGAAAAGACATGGACACGCTCCGTGAACCTGGCAGAGCAGACACAAAGCCACCCAGGCAAAACGAACTCAAGGGGACGTGACGTCCATGGAGAAGGTTGAGCCCCGTTCTGTTGTGATGCAACAACAGATCCTCGCTGGCCGTGGTGCCACTTCCGGGCATCTGTGAGAAACCTTCCCCGCTCCAGACGAACCCCATGTTCTGTTGTGATGCAACAACAGATCCCCGTTGGCCATGGTGCCACTTCCGGGCATTTGTGAGAAACCTTCCCCGCTCCAGACGAACCCCGGGCAGGGCAAGGGTCCCAATAAAGAGGAGAACCGATGTGTTAAAGGAGTCGCCGGCCTGAAGTCTGGCTGTAAAAGGAACCCGAGTTCCCTCCTCCTCATTCACGACTGACTTGGTGAGCCTGGCATCGAAGAGCAGGTCGCCCTCCTCTTGCAGGAGGAAATGCCCGGGGTGCTTCCGCCCACCGTGGGCAGCCCCACCCTGCAAGGAACCGAAAAGGATGGACGCCAGGCGCCCGTCTCAAAACCGCACGTACCTGTTCTCCTTTGTCTCCTTTGCCCCCCTTCTGCCCGGGGTCTCCGATTTCGCCCTGCCAGACAGGAAAGAAGCACAACATGACCCAGTCATATCCTATACACAGACACAGCTCACGATGAGAGCAAAACGTTCTCCAGGAGCAATGGTTTTAAGGATCTGGCTGCGGGGGTCCGAGGCTGGGAGTTGGGTCCAGAGGGCCCCCTTCCAGCGCCGCAGTCTCATGTTCTACCACCAAGCCATTTCACATCCGGCTGTGGTTCAGGACGGGGGTCGATATGGGTCTGTTCCTGCAAGAGCCTCCAAGCCCTTGTCCTGCACCAAGTTCTGGTTTGAAGAACGGCTTTGCTCGATCATCCCCCAGGGCACAAATCCACCCGAGCGGGAATTTTCTCTCTACCTTGTCTCCGTCTTCCCCAGGTGGGCCGACAGGACCCGCAGGGCCCGGGAGCCCCACGGGCCCCTGGATGCCATCGCGCCCGGCTGGCCCTTGAGGGCCTTTCTCCCCCTGAAAGAAAAGAGGAAAACTTTCAGCAGCCAATTCCGCTCAGCCCCAAGGTGGTGACCAACAAGCTCACCGTTCCCGCACCGCCTAATGCTGAACTTGGTGGTGGATGTCTGAAAAACGAGAGGTAACTTGATTCACTGCATCTGCAATTCAGAGTCTTGTGGCACTTTTAAAGATTTGTGAGTTCTATGTGGCATAAACTTTTGGGGGAGAGTAGGGGTACATTTCTTCAGGCACAGAGGGCCACCGTCCACCAACAGCTGGTTACCATGGTGGTGACAGATTCAGGCGGCTAATCTGTTGGGCAATTTCTCTTTCGAAACTGGATGGAGGACAGGAGCTGAACAAGTAAATAAAGTTGTGATCGCGGCCCATGGCGGTTGAATGCCCCTCCCCGAAGACTGCTTTGCAATCTGAGTCACTGGCTTTAGAGGATTAAGGAGATTCAAACGAAGCTGCCACCTCTAAAGGGTAAGGGGGTGAAGAATTCTCGCCACCAGCCTCCTGGTTTTTAGCCGATACAGTCTGCCAAGAATCCTCCAATCTGCCAGCAGGAATCTTGGTCTCCAGTGCGAGAGTGAGACAAGAAACACTTTCCCCCATCCGGTTTCCTATTTTTTTTTTTTTTTTGCTGCAAAGCTTCACCAATGTGTAAATTCTGCCTTACACAACAATCACCACCACGACACCCTTTCTATCTCACAGCGAAAAGTGTTTTCTGTTTTTCTTTTGCACTGTCTCCCACGAGACAAAACGGGACTGAAATTCTTAACACCTGGAGCCCCTTGGTTTCTGGAGATGCTGGGGTTTGAACCGGGGACCATCTGCAAGTCATAGGTGGGCTTTATCGCTGCACAGCCTTCATCTCTAGGCTACAAAAATGCACCCATTGCCCAGCAATGGATTTTTTTTTTTTTAAGGAAAGCCAAGGTTGTTTTCTCTCAGTTTGACTCTGTTTACACTGGACGCAGAGAGGCGGTAGTGCTGTCAAGGAAGTTGAACTGATACTTCACATCGAGGAGCTCTTAAGATGCTGATAGCAGCTCCCGGGACACCTCCACTCCTGCTCCCCCCCCCCAGATACTTCACATCGATGAGCTCTTAAGATGCTGATAGCAGCTCCTGGGACACCTCCACTCCTGCCCCCCCCCGATGAATTAAGAAGTACTTCAGAAAACACAAATTAGTTTCCTTCTGATCGGCAGCTGCTTAAACATTTCATTTCTTGATGACCTAGACTGAAGTGAAAAAGCATCTAATTGTTTTTTTAAAAAATACATTTCTTTGCCTTTTCATTGCACGGGCAGGTTGTTTGACGTTCAGGCTCTCCCCAGGAGCATCGCTTCAATTTCTGCCTGCATCCGAGTCAATGCTTGTGGAGTTGTGTAACCGATCAGGTGTCAGATAAACTACCTGCTCAGCTTTCTAAAACCGTTTCATAGATAAACAATGTCCCCCCCCCCCTCCGTGCTCATGGCTGAGCCCGGGGAGGAGATTACTGCCTCCAGCTGGGTTACCATCTTTCAAAGATGCTGCCTGCATGTGGGGATGGAGTGGGGTGGAAACGAGAGCAGGGGGTTTGGAATAACACAGATCTACATCAGCAGAGACATCTCCGCTTAATGCAAAACGTTTCAGCTTGTCTGCTCTTCCGAGCCTGTGAAAGATGCTCTCTATGTGATGGGAAAGCAGAAAGGCGTCTGTTTGGAACAGGAAAAAATAATAATATTCTGCCTTCCTGACTGAAGCCTGTTGAGAACTGCCTTTCAAGATCATGTCCGATCCCAGTAGTCTTGCCTCTTGCTTCAGCAACAGGCGCCACATCCATGAGATACTGTGCACCTGGAAACAGCAGCAAGCCCCTCAGTTTGTGTGCGATTGGCGTAGTTCCCACTATTGTCTTTTCATTTTTGGAGGTAAGAGACACACCAGAAGCCAAAAAGGAAGCCCTTGATTGCTTCCACGTTATGTTTAATGCTTGTAAAATATTTGTATACTTATTGTTATTAGCTTTTAAATGTTGTCCTTTTAATGATGCAAGCCTTGTCTCCTTTTAAGGAGAAAGGGTTTTTTTTTTTTTAAATTTTTTTTTTAATGAATAATAAAAAAATAAAGATATGAATAACCCATCCTGTGCTTCCAGTTTTGAGACATCCATGCCACAACGAGGTAGCCATTCTTGCAGTTTTAAGTCTTTGGCATTTGCATGTGTGTGTGTGTGTGTGTGGGGGAAACAGCCTGCACATGAGTAGTGCCTTACATGCAAAAGTTCTGTCTCAGGTGCTCAACTTTTTGCCCCCCATGGACCTCCGACTGGGAGGGCGGACTTCCCTGCCTCTTTGACACCTCGGTGAGCATGGCAGGGTGGCTGCGACGGGCAGGCAGCGGGCACGAGGCTCCTGGGCTGGCAGGGCAAAGAGGGTGCTAGTGAAGGAACATCGTTGGGAAACTGGACAGCGAAAGACTCACCGGGGCTCCTTTCTCGCCGGCAGGGCCTGGTGGCCCTTGAGGTCCGGGCCTCCCTGGTAGACCGATTGGGCCGGAGGCTCCAGCAGGACCTCGTTCCCCAGGGGAACCCTGGATCAGGGAAGAAGAAGATGAAGAAAAAAAGGGCTTGTGAACTCAGGATGGAGAGGCAAAGGGTGCTAAGGAAGAAAACAAAAAGGTCCGCTGTGGTTGTTCCAAATGACATAAGGTTCCAGGGACCCTCTGAGGCTCTCACGCCGAGAGCGGTGGACTTCCCTGCAAGGCTGAACCGATCCCATGAATCGGTTGTTTGCTGGGTGCCGGCCAACCCCTTGCCCATTGCTGGAGGGGGCACCTCGGAGCGCCCGTGGACGGCAAGAGGGCGGACCCTGCGTCCCATTCTTCTTAAGCAATGCCTTTTAGATCAGGATGTTGCCCACACCTCCCAGGAGAAAGGTGTGGGTCTGGGAGCAGGGCCCCGGTTTTCCTTAAATGTAACCCACAATGGACTCCCGGAATTGCACGGGACGCTTCCCACCTTTGGTTACAGAAGGAAACCAACAGAGGGGCCGCCCCCACCCCTCCCTTGCACCCTCGGAGAGCGCCAAAAGTCTAGCCGGCGGCGTCCGAGGCGTCCACTCACCGCTGGTCCAGGAGGCCCCGGTGGCCCTTCGTTGCCTTTGAGGCCGACAGGTCCCTGCAGGAAACAGAAAGGGGGGGGGAAGAGAAAAAGTTTGTTGATTTACTCCAGTAACGGGCAGGAGGCCTGGAGGGGTGGGGGTGGCCATTTCTGACCCAAGAACTCAAGCGACGAAATGTGGCCGAGGGCTGGACTTACAATCGGCCCGGGAAGCCAGGACTCAAGCGACGAAAAGAATGTGGCCAAGGGCTGGACTTACAATCGGCCCGGGAAGCCCTCTGTCCCCTGGAAAGCCTCTCAAGCCAGCTGGGCCGTCTTTTCCGGGAAGACCGGCGGGTCCTGGGTCGCCCTGCGGGGAAGAGTTTAGGGTTCAGAACCGAAGGTTTACGGAGTTCGCTTCCTTTGTCAAAGAAAAAAAGGGACGAGGAGACAAAGCAGATCCCAGGAAATGGGACAAACTCTCGTGGTGAGGTCCACTTTGACAGGAGGCAGCAGTTCAGGTGACACCCCCCCAAAAAAAAGCACAGAGGAATCTTGCTGCGCCTTCAGAACCGCCCTCCTGCTGCTCCTGGGAACGTCTCCCTCTCTCTGCGGGAGTCCCAGAGAGGGTCTCCCGCCAGGGCAAGGGGTCAAAACCACGGCCAGAAGAGAGAAAAGACCAAGTATTTTTTTTAAAACATCCCCGGTCGCAACGGACTCACCTTCGTCCCTTCCTTGCCAGCCAGCCCAGGGAGGCCTTGTTCTCCGGGGGGGCCGGGGGGCCCAGGATGGCCCCGCTCTCCCATGGGCCCCGTCTCCCCAGTGGCGCCCTACAAGGAAGCGGAAGAGAGAATCAGGGAGGCCTTGGCGGTTGAGGTCTCTGGCTGCGGAACCAGAGGCAGAGAATCAGGGAGGCCTCGGGGGGTTGAGGTCCCTGGCTGCGAAGACAAAGGTTGGGGGCTGGACTGATCCTTCTTGGCAGGGGCTGGACTGGATGATCACATAGGGTCCCTTCCAGCTCTGCCATTCCAGGATGATGATGAAGTACGTATGTGGAAGCACCCATGGAAAAGTATTTGGGATATGAAGAACAGCCAGACTCAGGCCCTCCACCCGAAAGAGGGCAGAGTTCTGTCCGGTCCGCTCCTCACCCAGTGACTCAAAGGATCGGGTTAGTGGAAGGGGAAGAGAAAAGACTCAGACAAGCAGAAGGAAAAAGTTGAAGTAGACTCTACACAAGGAACACGGCCGGTGTCAGACTTCCCACAGGAGAATAACAGCCATCCGATCCTGCCTTGATTTCCTAGCTCGTTTCGGGCTCTCAATGCAATGGAGTATTTTGTACATGGCCCGAGGTGCCCCTTTTACGTGGAACCCATGACCTCAAGGGGCGTGGGGGGCTGGTGAGCGCTCCAACGCTGGAGGCCTTCGAGAGAAAACGGGGCCACCCTCGGTCCAATCTGCTTTGAGCAGGGTGGGTTGGACTAGATGGCCTGATCTGCTTTGAGCAGGGCGGGTTGGACTGGATGGCCTTTGAGGCCCCCTTCTGAGCCCATCACGCTGTGGTTCTCCCTCGGCATCTGTACCTTTCTGCCCACTAGCCATCCTTCATGTATCCGAACGATTCTTGACGGACCATTTCCTCGTCTGACTCTATCCTATTGTGGTTCTCCCTGGGCATCTGTACCTTTCTGCCCACTAACCATCCTTCATGTATCTGAACGATTCTTGACGGACCATTTCCTCGTCCCTGTATCTATACCCGTCCAGGCCTACCACTCATGTATCGCTATATTGGGCTGCCATAAATCCAGGAGATAAAGTTACTCAATAAAGGTAATGAAGCAAGTAATGAGCGCCTCTAAAAACAAGACGGTCTAAAAACGACAATTAAGACAAGACGGTTGATGGTCATCAGTAAAAAGCAAGCAGACGGAGCAAGGGCAGGGCTGGAGACTCAAAATGGAAATGTAGAGCCGATTGGCAAATTTAAGGACCTTGGGATTTGAGTCAATCGACAGCGCGGTCTTACTTAAGAGCCGCTCTGTGCAAAGTCAATGTGGCCAGGACAACATCCAGCCTCCAGCAGGATAGGACCCAAACGAAGTCCAATGGGGCAAGGTGCTCTCTCTCTCTTACCCTAAAGAGTTTATAGGCCATGTGCTTTCTTCATAAGGCAAAACCTGGCTCTTGGCTCACAGTATGTTATGCTAACGTTTTGGCCAGCCGTTGGGCGTCCTCTGGATTGGGCACAGCGTCTTAGTACCACGGATCCGTGTCTCGGTCAAATTTGACAGCGCTTCTCTCGTTGGCCCCCTCCCCCTCGTTCTTATCCTGTGTGCACTTGGGTTGCACACCGTGGCCCCGAGCCATCACCCGGTTGTGAGGCAAATGCTCGAGGACCCTTTCGGGTTCACGGTGGGCCACCGTGGCTGGGTTGTTGGGTGGCCATGCCTGTTAGGGACACCCAACCTCCTTAGAGGAGGAGGAGGAGGAGAAAAAGCCATATTCTCAATATCAAGCGTTTTACCACTGGGGCTCAGCTTTTGTCTGGGAGACACCAATATTCATTTATTGGACATAAAGAACAGAATAACTTTGGGACGACACTGTGATTATCGATCTGGACATGGGGACTCATGCCTTGGCATTAGGCTAGAATGGCAGCTGTTGGAGGCGCCGGCAGCCAGGAGGGGAAAAGACGCCGCTGGGCAAGCTATGCAAGGGTTGCAAAATCCACTCAGGGGTGGAGCGGGGTGGCCCGTTCAGAGTCCATCTCCTTCCCACAGAATTCGACTTGTTCCCATGACCCCAAGTTATCTGGGTGTTTTGTTTTGTTTTTAAACACTCTCATAATTGTGGATTTCTGATAAGTCCCTATTGAACAAAGAGGAAAGAAAAATGAGGCCAGGGTCCGGTCAACCGCAGGGACGATGGTCCGGAAGCCACAGGAGGTCGGCATTCAGCCCGTCCCCCCCCCCGTCTCTGCCCGCTGCAGCTTCTCATCTGACAGGGAGTCGGAGAACCAGAGAGGCCTCATCCAGCCCCTCCGGTTTTCACAAAGGGCATCGGGCTTCTTGCCAACTGTGCAAGTGGGCGCATTGGCCACGCTGCTGTTTCTGGAGATGACACTAATTATGCTTTAGCATACCCAGACCTAATTAGTAGGCCGTTGACTTTTACACCATGGGAAGCAGACATAAACATGTATTTACCCTGCGATGCAGAACTTGACGTTGCCATTAATCTACCAGAAGTTCTACTAATGGTGAGGTCATTGGGACAGCCAGCATTTCTCCCCATGGTGTCAGGAAGCCAGCGAAGGGGATGGGTTTTTTGGGGGGGTTGCTCACCTGAGGGCCGACGACACCCGGAGGCCCGGGAGGGCCGGTCTTGCCTTGGAAGCCCTGTGAGAAAACAAAAGACCACAAAAGCTGTCATTTAAGGAGCCCAAAACCCGCAGCCCATCATCCACTCTATAGCGATCCAGCCGATGTGGTGAGCTCTCTTCGGAGAATCACACCGGCTACGGAGCCAGAGGTTGGGAGTTCGATTCTTCCACTGCATCTCCTTGACAGGGGCTGGACTGGATGACCCCCGGAGGGTCCCCTTTTCCAGCTCTGCCGTTCTAAGATGATTCTGCTCCAAGGCGAGGCCAGCTCTTCCAAGAGACACACGCCCGGAGCGTGAAGGTCTCGAGATACTCACCGTCTCCCCTCTCTGCCCAGGGTGGCCGGGCAGTCCGTCTTTTCCTGGTGGGCCCTGGGGGGGGAAGAGAGAAGAAGCTGAGCCAAACCAGGGAGCGTACCTGGTGCCGCCTGCTGGCATGCGGAGAACCGAAGCTGGCTTTGTCACGGACATTTCCGCTGGGGCTCTTTTGGCTCAGCGAATGCCTCGGGATGTCGTCTACTTACCGGGGGGCCCTTTGGTCCGGGAAATCCAGTAGGTCCCTGTGGCCCTGAAGGACCCTTGAAAGCAAGGAAACAGGCAGATTAGGGTTGTTCTCCCATATATTGTGTTTTCAGAGCAGAACCCATTTCCCATTAATCTGTCCCAAGGGATGTGGGGGGGGAAACTGGCTCCCTTTGCATCTGATAGGTAGATTTCCCTTGGGTGCAAACACACACATGCACACACACACCCCGAAACTGATTCCAGCTCAGACATGCTTTGTGTCTGGAAACCCAGACCCGAGATCCACTTTGTCGAACAGCAGGATGGAGGAAATGAGCCCCTGCTGGAAAAGGGCGCAGAGAAAACGGAAGTGCAAGGTGAAACCGTTATTGCACCACTTAAAAAAATATTCACAAAAACCGCAAGCTTTTGTGAGTCCTCGGGTGTGCACAGCCTGATTTGACCCACAAAAGCTTGCCATAGTGTGTGATTCTTTTCACTGCCTCACTCTCGCATTCGTGCAATCCTGATCCTTTAGCCTTTTCCTAATTCCTTCTAGGAAAGTCACCAGCAGCTGCCTCCAAGACCCTAGCTTGTGGTCCATCACCGTTTTAGGGGTTTATCTGTCCTTCCCTGGCAGAGACGGCCCACGGAAGGAAGCGTTTAGCTCAGCATTTCTACTTAAAGTGATTTTTTACGTCACAAGGGCGTTTCTGCGGTCTGTTCCATCTTACCCTTTCGCCTGGAGGACCCGGTGGCCCATCACCGCCAGAGTTACCCTTAGAAGGAAGGGGGAGAGAAAAGGAAGTTACAAACACACACAAATAGTATCAGCAGCAGAATATTAAAACCAGACAACCGTGAATGGCCATGTGAAGTGGAAATTTTAAAAAGGAATAGAAAAGGTAAATGATTTCAAGCATATTCGTGATGCATTCCAAACGTTTTTTTTGCAAAAGGGAAAGGACAAACGCGAGCCCAAGACTTTTTATTTTTCTGGACAGAATTGGGGTATGTTGATTAGAAGGAAGAATAAATGCAGGGACCGAAAGGAGGCACAAAGAAAGAACAGCCAGGCCGCCAGGCTTCCTCTCTTGCAGGCCTGCTGCGTCCTGTGCACAAGCCACAGGATGTGGCAAAAGAGATGCGCCTTTTAAACATAAAGGGTGAGGATCTGGGGGGGGGAGGAACTAGGGTTTTGGAAGCCCCCCCTGAACATACCTTTGGCCCAGGCTTGCCCGTGATGCCGCGCTGGCCTCGTTCTCCACGGGGACCCTGGAAGGGGGGAGACAGGAACAAGCAAAGGTCTCATTGACACAAATCCACGACTCAAAGGGGAACAACAGTGGAGATGGGAAGCAGTGCGAGTGGGGAGGAAGGGGGAAAGAAAGAGCTTACCGTTGGTCCGCGCTGCCCTCGGGGTCCTGGTTTGCCAGGGGTACCCTGGGAAGAGCAAGAGGGAGAAGAAGGTGAATGGATGCCACTTATGACCCGTGACGCCAGTGGCCATACGGGTCTGTGGGAACCGTCCCCCCACCCACCCCGAGCAGGCTTGTTGAGAAGCCAGAGAGGGACCCCAGAAGCCTGCCTGCAAAGTTGGGCAGGGGGTGCAACCCTAACCAACCCCCCCAGCAAAGCAGAGGAAGCCAATCGTTTGAATGAAAGGTGAGGATCAAGGGAGAATCGCTTTAGCAGTCCCTGACAGCAGTCAGCAGAAGGAGAAGAGGAAATTGCTGGTCAATCCTTGTATGCAGCATCTTAAGGCAGTTTCTGCTTTGGCTGTCCAGATTTTCAGGAGCCACAGCAGCAGCAGAAGCTGCCTTAACAAGCTGCAAACAAGGGCTGATCAGCAATTTCTTCCTTTCTCTTTCCTTTTGTGTGTCTCCTAAGTAATCAAGTGTAAGTATGTCCCTGAGCTGGAATGAAGCCTTTAACAAGAAAAGGAGAGCGCTGAAGACAAGGGGTGAAACTGACATCCCTGGGAATGCCACTTTGCTTCCTCTCTCCCTACCCTGCTGAACATCAGCACCTCCGTACATATGCCCCATGGCGTCACTACATCAACTCAAGCGATCACTCTGCCTGAACCGATGTGAACGCATTGGCTGTCAACAAAGGGGAAGCCCCAGCAGCAGAGAAAGAACGTACAGATTGGGGAGGAGAAGTCCAGGCTGTTTTGCACTGACTACAACGCCATGTAGACAACAGAAGAATACAGATCTGGCCGTCCCAACTCCAGATCACTTCCCGTATGATTTGCCCACGGAGTCACTGCCTGAGTGGGATTATGGTTTTCTGAGCAGCTGGAAAGTTAGTGGAGGCTCTTTTTCCACCACACTCTTATTCAGTGTCAAGGGATCTATATCGTTACGAGTAGTCCTCCTCCTCCTCCTCGTCCCCCACCCCTTCTGCCGTTATGTAAATGACATTTAGATGGCACAATACGAGAGAGAACGTGTTGAAAAGCAATTTATATCGCCTGCATCTCCTATCAAGCATGCCTGTTAGAAGCAATTTGTATTTAAATGAGGGTAAAAAGCAAATTTAACACTGCTCCTGCGCTTTTGCGGTAATGGGGCGGCTGTTGAAAACCAAGTGGGGCTTCTGCAGTACATTTTTAATGCCTGCCTTCAGAACTGGGGTGCCAGAGTTGGCTTTTTGTCGGCCAATAAACCATGGAAGCCACCGAATGGAGCCTTAGGTTCTCCTGGAATCGGAAGAGGTCACTGGCGCTGGGCAAGCTTGAAGACAGGAATGGGAAGGACTGCGGGAGGAGAAAGAGGTATCTGGAGGGCCAACAAGGGTGTCAGCTCAATAGGATCACACCACGGCGGGCAACAGTCATCGACATTTAGCGATTATTTGTTAGGTCCTCAGAAACGATCCACTGCCAAGACAACGCGTGAGTTCCTGCTTACCCTGGTTCCTTTCTCTCCATTGGCACCTGGGAAGCCAGGGAATCCGGAAGAGCCCTAGATGGAAAAGAGGGCAAGAAGAGAGAAAAAAGGGACGGAGAAGACACCACGGTTAATCCACGAAGGTCAGGGCAACCGAAGGAACTCTACAGCAGCGAAACACTTCAATAAGGTCAGAAAATGGAACTAACTAGAAACATGGGCTTTTTGGACCCCTGGCAAGGCAGGGAGGGACCTAACCCAGGACAGGGCAACCCAACGGTTATACCTGCTCCAGGTAAATGGAAGGTGTCCCGCACAAGCACAACCGGATTCACTCTCCCTACTCATTCTCCCAGCCTCATCAGCTTGCAGGGATTTCAGGTTGGATTCCCACTCTACACTGAGAAGGGAATCCCGGCCAACCCCACCTCCATCCGTGTCTTCTTACGACCCCCAAGTATGTTCCCGGGGCGCAGTGAGGTGGCAGCAGGCAGGATGGAGGCCCACAGAGGGCAAGATCCATCCAGCCTGTGAGCCTTCAAGCTGAGGTCCCGATCCAAGGAGGGCAGTCTTTCTACTCGGGCTCATTCAGGCTTCCCCAGAGTGCAAACAACAGAGTAGGGGTGTCCGGTTGTGGGTCAACACAGCAGCAAGACAGTTGCCCAAGCAGCTGTTATGGGGAGCTGCAGAGCATTAAGCCGGAGGGCAGGCGAGAGCCAAAGCAAACATATATTAAAAAAAACACCCGACGGAATGGGCTGAGCAGCTATTTTATGGAAAGCTGGCAAGCGGGAGCTAAGAGAGGCCCTAAATGTCTGCAGGTTTCGAGGGCTGGTGGGCAAAAACTGGGAAGAATCCACCAGTAGGAAGCCAGCTTCTGTGGTTAATTGTGTCTCCTGCACCAAAGAAGCCGGTTTACAGAAGCATTAAATATGAATGATAAAACACAGTTCTAAAAGGAAACAAACAATGAAGGAAACGAAGAGAGGAAAATCCATTGTTAACAACAACAAAAAAGAGTTGAGTTTTCAGTCATCATTGGATGAAACCCCGACTCCGGCTTTCTACTTCATACAGGAGGAATTTCTCTTTAAATTTAGAAACGGGGAAATATCGGACAACAACTCAGAAGTGGGTGGGAAAGTGGGGCTGCCTTTTATCCCCAAAACTGGGCCATCTCTTTTAGAGCTCCGTCTCGTTAGTTATTCCTCTTAATTAATTATCTAACAGCTTGCATAGCGAGTCACGCCACTTGGCTTTGGCGTTCCTCTCCTTGCTCCGAGTGGAAACGCCGAGAGAGAGAGAGAGGCGGTCGATGCCGGCATCAAAGGCTTTCGCTGGCTCCCCCGGAGCGCCCATCGCCGGCGACACTTTGATTTCCCGCTCCCCTGGCGCTCCCCTGGTTCTCTCATGTATATTCCCGCCGCCCAGAGAAGCATCCCTCCTCAATAATTTAAGGCCTCCACCACCAGCGCTCTCGTCTCCAACCGAGCAATTACTGTAAGAAGAGTGCTTATCTCGATTTTTTCCTTAAAATCTGCAAAGGTATGGGAAACCCAGCCGGCCAAATTTCACCCTGAAGGAATGAAACATCGTGGGGGATTTTGAGAGGCTCCTTTGCTTAGGCAGCCCACCTGTGGGGACTTCCAAAGGACAGCTGGCCAAAATGGATGACCACCACAGAGATGGTCAAAGGGAAGAGCGGGTGACGCCTTTTATTGGCACTGGGTGGGGGGGGAGCCCGTCCTTCCATCAGTAGCAGGTTCTCCGTCTGGCCCAGTGGGGGTACAAATTCCCAGCCCCTGCCTCTGCTACTGGGTGCTCCAATCTACTGAGCTATATCAGCTCTAGAAACAATAGCCATGACCAAGGAGATCACGCGAGACCCACCCCCAGGACACGGAACTGATGCTTGCGGCAGCTTCCACCCATAACACATCCAGGATCATCCCCCAAACTGTCTGCCTGTTAGTAACGGAAAAGGCAGAACTGCCTCCCACCCCACTTCGTTCCCTGCAGTGCGGTCGGTCCAGCAGAATCCCTCGGTGGTCCCAGCAGCTGTAACAAAAAACATCTCAGTCTGGAAACCTTAAGAAGGGAAGGAGACATACCTTGGGCCCTATTCTTCCAGGATAACCTGGCAAGCCCGGAACGCCAAGTTTTCCCTGTAGAAACAAATTAAAAATACATTAAACACAATGGAGGGAAGAGATAAGCGCCTATGTTTTCCAAATACAAGAGTTAAGCTAACTTCACGTTTGATCTTAATTTGTGTAAAGAAAACAACAACCGAGGTTGTGGATCGGGAGGGACAAGGAGAGGGACCACGCGTGCTCCAGAAAGAAAAATACGTAAAACCAAGACAGGAAATTCGACGTTAGCGGGATTTCATAGCAGGAGGATTCCAAACCCACTTGGAAATGATGCCAACGGATCCGTCCTTGATCTGCCCTCCTGAAACTCAGATGGGGCTTTTCAAGGGGGAAATGCACAGAAGGAATCATGCAATAAATTTAAGCGTATTCGTGTTAAGATCTGCAAAATCTTTCACGGAGGGTTTTGGACACCCCTGCACCTCACTGGGGCCAGGAAAAGAGTTAGATGGGATTTTAAAGCACCAGTGAAGGTGAGGAAATACATTTGAGATCCGGACGTCACTAATTTTGGACACGATTCTTTGCGCATCTGTCCTACATGGGAAGGAAGGAAAACCTTACCTTTTCTCCTGAGGGACCCAGCGGGCCAGGATCACCGTTCGGACCGCCACGGCCTTTGGGGCCTTCCGGCCCGTCCTCACCCCGTGGACCAGGAGGGCCAATTTCACCCTAGGAAAAGCGGAGAACAAGGCCATTGTCCTTTGGCGGCTCGCAGACCCTTGCTGCGCTCATGCAGAAGCAGCGGGGAAGTATTTAAGGACAACGGCATTTCCGGATCAGCGTCACGCTCAAATGATCTCTGGCATAAACAGCGAGCTTAGAGACCATCGGAAAAGCATTAAATAATTTGAAAAATAAGCGTTTTTTCAAGCAAATATCAAGTTGGAAGATTGAGGAAGAGGTCTCTAATAGTAAGCTGCACAGAGAGGACGGGTCTTGCTTCTCCAGGGGACCCCGTGCCTTCCCACCTTCAGACTTAGGAACCAATCCTGTGGGGCTGAAGATGCTCAAACTCTGTGTTGCTTCCAAACACCTGCAGAACCTCTAAAACAGGGTGGGAGGCCCATCTAAAGCAGTCCTGTTGGCTTCCGGATAACATCCCTAGTGTCTTGAGTCTTGTCAACAGCCTGGGCATCTCTTGGGTCATTTGAACCAGCCCGGAGCGTGCCCTGTTCTGGAAAACTCACCCGGTCTCCTTTAATCCCCATGTCGCCTTTGAATCCCGGGAAGCCGTCTTCGCCCTACAAGAGAGGAAGAGGAGAAAGGGGCACCGTTAGTGGTTGGGAGGGAAGACGGAAGGTCAAGATGTCGACGCACCACCAACACCCTTCCAGCAAGGATCACCTACGAAGCCCGTCACGGTTTGGGACCACATCACCTGTTGGCTAACATCTTTACCCAAAGTCGCCTCCCCTGCTCTCTTGGGGTCCTCCCAAGCCATGATCCTACTCTGAAGGAAGCCAGGAAATCACCAACCCAAAGCAGGGCCTTCTTGGCTGTGGGACCAGCGCTCTGGAACCAACTCCTAATACAGCGACGCCTGGCCCTCTCTCCCCACACGTTTAAAATACTCCTTTTCAGGGACAGGTGTTTCTTTGCAACCCTGCCTGACCTGTTTTTCTCCTTTTTTCTCTCTGTTGATATGCGTTGCATTCTCTATTTGCAAATTGTGCCTCTTGGAGTTTCCATGTTATTTGTTTAATCTCTTTTATTTAATATAGGGCTGTGGTGTTTTTATTTCAGGGTATACCACCTGGAAGAGTGCACTGCACTCGTGGAGAGGAATGCAAATTTGAGAAATAACTAAATGAGAAATAAATGATTCCTGCAGCACAGACTCCGCCACCCGCTCACTCCAGACCTTGGCTGAGCAGTTCTCTTGTCCGTCTTCCAGGGGAACTGCAGGCAACTTGAGAAAATTGTTCTAGAACTCACGAACGAACTCCGCTCTTCGTGATCTCAGAGAACAAGGGGAGAGGCTTTCGCCAACGGCTGCTGAACCCTGATTCTGTGACCGGCCTGAGGTCACCTCGTGAGGATCAAGTGGGGCTTTGAACCGGGATCTCCAGAGATAGCCTAGCTCGTAACCTCAAGATGAACAAACGCAGGTCAAGGATGCTCGACTCCCAGACCCGGACGCTTCGCGGGCACCCCCTGTGTCAAGAAGCTCTTGGGATAGGGGCCCTGGAGGCCTTTGGCCATGTTTTTAAAACCTGAAAGGAACAGCCCCCTTCCAAGCCCTCAGGTTTTTATCTTTCACATGGAGACAAGGCAGGCAGCCTTTCCGAACGCTAGCAGCTCGGAGGGGAGGAAGGACAGCTAGTTTCCATAGCAACCAGATTACCCTGCAATCGAGACGAGATATATAAGTATATACAGTACACATGCACGCATGCACATACATATATGTGTGTGTGTGTATGTGTGTTTCTTTTTTTTTTTCTTCCCCTGGGGGGAAAATAAATGGAAATCTGCAGGGCAGGGACGGAGAACTTAAAAATATATAAGACATTTAAAGTCATCTTGTTACTTCAGTAAAATAAAAAGGATCCTTTGGTTTCCTCATAAAGTGATCACAGAATCAAAGAATAATTGGGTCGGAAGGGGGCCTCCAAGGCCATCCAGTCCAACCCCCTGCTCAAGGCAGGAATCCAAATCAAAGCAGTTCTGATAGACGGCTGTCGTATTTTCTCGTGAAGCGCTCACTCCTTCCTGAGATCTTGGCCCCCGTTGTCGTACGGCTCTAACAGTTAGGATGTCTTTCCTTGTATTCAGCCACGATCCGGCTTCCTGTCCCTTGAGCCCACGGTTGCGTGTCTTGCACTCTGGGATGATGGAGAACAGATCCTGTCCCTCCTCTGGAGGAGAGCCTTTCCAGTCTTTGATATCCGATGATCTCCCCTCTGTCTTCTTTTCTCAAGTCTGAAACCTGCCGAGGTATTTCCATCTTTCCTCCTCCCAGGGCCATCTCCCCTCCGTCTTCTTTCCTCAAGTCTGAAACCTGCCCAGGTATTTCCATCTTTCCTCCTCCCAGGGCTTGGTCCTCCAACCCCCTGACCCTCTTGGTGGCCCTTCTCTGACGTTGCTCCAGTTTCGGCACATCCTTCTTAATGGATGGTGTCCAGAACTGGACACCGGACTCCAGAGGAGGCCTCACTGGTGCCGAACGAGGACCTCCCTGGATTTGGACTAATATTTCACACACCTAGCAGGTCACCAGCAGAAAAGTGTCTCTTTCCTTCCGTGATCCCCGTTACCTTTTCACTTTCTACTGCTGGTTTATGAGTGCCCTTTCTTTTGACTTCAAAGATAAGGGGAAAGTCCTCTAATATAAACTCTCTCTCTCTCTTTGGTCTCCTTTTTTAATCTCTCTCTCTTCCCCCACTAGACCCTTTTCTTACTATCTCCCCCCACTCCTTCAAACTCCTGTTTGCTCTCCCCAGTCGCTCGATCTCATCACTCAGTTCATCTCAGTTTGTTCATGTCCAGATATACAAAAAACGAAAGCATAATTTACTCAGACAATAATTACACATTCACTCATCAAATTTACTTTTAAGCTCTTGAACCCCTCAGAAATCTAGCATTTCTAAATGTTGGGGGGGGTGTTGGGGTTTTTTTTTGGCATGCTTTTGAGAATCAGGCAAAAGATCAAAGTTAAAACCAGTGGAAAGCATCAACATTCAAGGAAAAAGAGAGAAAACTTATTAAGTATTCCCCGAAATTATTAGCCTTCTCCGCAGGGTCAGGCCGACACAAAAAGCTTTCATTTTCAGAAAAAAATATATATGAAAAGAAGAAGAACAGGGGAACCCAAACGTTATTGCATACTAATTTAGTTTCAAGGAACTTTGTTTAATTGCTACCTCTTCTAAGCTGTCCATATGACCAGTTCCTTTTTATTCGTACCATTTTATCACCTCGATAGGATGGCTAAAACCTGCAGGGGTTTTAAGACAAGCCCCCGCCTCTCTTTCACCTGTTGCTTGAGTTCTGGATTCGGCACCTTTCCAAAACACAGGGTCGTTTCTTTCCAACACCACAGCAAATGGAAGGGAGGGTCGTCGGAGGCTGGCTGACCTTGTAAGGGACCCAATCCAAAGGGCAGTGCGGTGCAGTGGATAGAGTGATAGAGGAAGACTCACGAGGCCTGGGTGCAAATCCCCTGCTCAGCCATGGAAACTCACCAGGGGAATGGAATTGGTCAAACCTCTCCTTAAATATCTCACTTATTAGGGTCGCTGATTTGACGGCACATACCAGCACCACGTCTATTCTTTAATAGTAATCATGTGCTGCCCTGTCAATGCTGACTTAGGGTGACCGTTTTTCAGGGCCTTCCAGATAAGAGAGCAATCCAGAAGTGGTTGACCCTTCCCTTCTTCACCAGGGGAATGGAATTGGTCAAACCTCTCCTTAAATATCTCACTTATTAGGGTCGCTGATTTGACGGCACATACCAGCACCACGTCTATTCTTTAATAGTAATCATGTGCTGCCCTGTCAATGCTGACTTAGGGTGACCGTTTTTCAGGGCCTTCCAGATAAGAGAGCAATCCAGAAGTGGTTGACCCTTCCCTTCTTCTGGGGGGCATTGTCTATTCTTTAATAGTAATCATGTGCCGTCCCGTCAATGCTGACTTAGGTTGACCGTTTTTCAGGGCCGTCCAGATAAGAGAGTAATCCAGAAGCGGTTGACCCTTCCCTTCTTCTGGGGGGCATTTCTGGGACTGCGCAGCTGGCCCAAGGCCACCCAGGCTGGCTCTTTTTGCCCTGGGATGCGCACAAGGGGGAATTAAACGCCTGGCACGAGATGCGCACAAGGGGGAATTAAACGCCTGGCCTCTGGCTCTGCAGCCACATAACCCTCTGAGCTGTCCAGCCAGCTTGTTTATTATTTATCCACTTCATTTTTCCTTGGGGGGGGGCGAGGGTGTAAAAAAAAAAAACTAAACACACATAAGAAAACAACCCCCTTGCATTCTACCCTAAATCTTCCTTTATGTCCAATTCTCCTCTCCTGGAAACAAAACCATTATATAAGCTATCGTTTTATTTCCTTGGCAGAAGCAAAAAAAAAATCTCTCCGGTTGCAACCTTAATAATTATAGATTGGATTAAGTCCTGCTTCAGACCCTCTTCTCCTCGGAGCCCCCCCCTCCTTCCAGGGAACTCCCCGGGCGCCCTTTTTTCTCCTCCGTCCCCAGCCCGGAGTGTCAGCTCCGGTGATGTAAATATTGGGAAGCCGGGAAGGCCACCGACAAATTGCTTTCCACCGAGGCCGTTCCACACTCATCTCTTCAGCGAGAACTCACGAGCCGGGCCGATATTTCTTCCGGACGGCCAGGGCTTTAACGGCCGAGGCTCAATCAATAGCGCATCGAGTCCGAAAGCAATCGTGTCAGGTGCTAAAAGGGAGGAGGCAGCGACCAGAAATGACACCGGGGGGGGGGGGCTTTCGGGGGCGGCTTGTAAGCCGGTTCCCCGGTTATAATTGTCAGCTTTTCTAGCGATGGAAGGAAGAAAGGAAGGCTGGGGAGATTTAAGGCCAGAACAGGGGTGGGATATTACTCAGCCTTCGCTCCTCCTCGGGGAGAACATAACCGAACCCCAGAAAAAAAAAGCAGACAGAAAGCGTGCGGCTGCAGGGCGGCTGTTTTTAAGGGCAGCTCCAGTCGGCACGTTGGGCTTTTTCCACCTGCTGAATTCTCAGGCTTTTTTGTTTTACGAAAAGGTGTAAATCAGAGGGATCTGTCGGTATAATTGAGATCACGTCCTGGGTCTACCAAGGGGGATCAGAAGCGGCGGCTCTTTTCCAATCCCCCCGAAACGAAACAGGCGAGGGGGAGAACACGATGCAAGTTCCTGCAGGAAGGAGCGTTAAATCCTCCATCTCGAATTATACACATTGAGAACGCCGGTTTATATTTAATTCAATAGGCTTGCATTGTTTTCCTCTGCGCAGAGCAGGGATTTTATTTTGGGCCATGATCCATCCACTCCGGCACCCCAGAAAGCGCCCGAAACCCACCCTCCAGTGGCAAACCCCCTTCTCCCACTTCTCTGGACTGGGATGTGCAGGGTGGTGGGGCAAGAACCCAGTAAGGCCCGAGGGATTTCGGCAGGGGAGTCTACTGGTTAGAGGTCTAGAGTAGGACCCCAGGGAGGCGAGTTCAAGTCTCCACTCCCCTCGAAATGCACACGGAGCAGCCCCACTTTCTCTGTCTGATCTACCTCACAGGGATGTCGTGAGGGAGAAAGATGGAGGGCCACGAATACCACCTTGAGATCTCTGGTAAACGGGCATAATAGAAATGCAGTTCATGAACAAACAAATAATTTTTAAGGCCAGTTTTCTTTTCTTCTAACCTCTGGCCAAACGCACAAGGTGAGCGTGGAACAAGGACCAGCCAGAAAGCAAAAAATCAGAATTTCATCCACGTCGGGTTTCCCCCAAATTCTCATTTTCTTGACTAGACATTTTGCTCTGTCTGGTTTGAGGGGAGCAGAGGGTCTCCAAGGGAGTTTGCGTGCAGCTTCACATAGATTTACTTTAATTGCCCTCCTGCTTGCATATTAATTCATATTAATGCATGGGCATGCATATTAATTCACAGCAATGCACGGACAGGCATATTAATTCGCATTGTGTATCAGTTCGGGAAATGAGACTTTGCTAGGTTTTGACAGGATTCCAGGTAAAACAAGCTTCTCCCAGAGAAAGATCCTAAAGACTAGGAGACACCCCCCCAAAGGAGGGCCTGACACGCCGGCAGCCCCTACGCCAGCATCCAGGTGAGTGCGACAGGTGAGGAGGGACCCTTTTTCTGACTTAGAGAACTTTGTCAAAGCAGTGAAGGGGGGGCATCTTCTCACCTGGGGCACCACGGCATCCGGTCAAGGCACGGAAGTAGACTCACCTTTTCTCCCTTGGTTCCTTTCAAGCCACGGACACCATCTGCTCCCTGTGGGGGGGATTAGGGGGGGAAGAGAGAGAGAAGCAACAGAAGAGAGGATTACGACCCTGGCCCAGCCAGAGGAAAGCCGTTCGGTTGTGACGCTGGAGGACCCAGCTTTTCAAAGAGAGGAAGGCCGTCCGTTCCGTGGTCACCAGAGGCCACGGAGGAGATGGCCGGTCTCCGCATCCCACGCCCTGGGGTCCCTGAAATCGACCACCTCCAGCTTGACTTCCAGCTCTGCTGTTCTTATTATTGCCTTATTATTATTTATCTTTAACTGAGACAAATCACTGGGAAGCCATTCAACACAAGAGTCACTGGAAATAAGCCACACAAAGTGGAAAAGCGTCCATGTGATGAATGGCACAGTCTCCCCGGCAGGAAAGCTATATTATTACTTTATTATCAGCACAAACATTTCGTACAGAGAGCATCGGTGGATACGAGTTATGTTTCTCTTTGCTTCTTCTCGTACTAAATTTCCCTGAATTCTTATGTTGGAAGGGAATAGCGAATCACGGTTACTAATTCATTTAGCTAAAATCTTGGATGAAAATTTCCTTAGATTAAGGAACCTGCAACAGTTAATTGGGTTAAAGAGCTGACGAAGGAGCTTACACATCCAATGAAGGAAGGAATGGGGACAGAACAATGAGACCAAACATATTATTTAAATATGTGAACACCGTGTTTGAAACACGGGAATAGATTTACAACTGTCTCAACCCTTTGCCAGAAGCAAGTGTAAAGAAAATCTCATCCAGGGTGCTCTTCTTTTATATGCTGATTTGTTTTTCTCCTGTAAGATTTATCGAGACTTGGTCTACGCCTTTTTCTAGTTACCCTACAGTTTTTATGAGAGTTGTTTTGATTCCTTTCCCAAACTGGCACCTCCCAGTCCACAGATTGAAGCAACAATATACGCTCAGAATGGCGCCGAGGAGACAAAGTTTGCCGAGCACCCTCTTGTGGCTTGAACGGGTTATGTCTGCTGCTGGGGACGGATCGGTGCTTAAAGGAAGCAAATCTTCATGATGTTCCTGAGCTCTCCAAGAAATATGATCAAGCAATAGCAAACACGGGGAAAATCTGCAAAGCAGGAGTGTCAAGGATCCCCTGTCTTTGTATCTGAAAATGAGGGGCAGGAGCACATTTCCCCTTGTTGATAAGGAATTCCCTGACACTCTCAACATGGATGAGAAAGGTATTTTGCACAACACTGCCAATTTTTGCAAAAAAACCCAAACCAACCCCCCCCCCAACAACAGCATGATTCCGGTTTCACTTGAAGCACGAGATGGGTTGCTTGTGTCCTCTGAACTGTCAGCCAGTCCTCCTGGGCTCACAGAAGGGCTCACGGTGTGTGCCCTGCTTTGCAAAGTGGGCAGGAAGGGGGTCACGGGACATGTTTTGTTCAAACTGCAAAACAATTTTTTTTCTCACTCTAAGATGGAGCTGAAGAATCCCGTTGAGAAAGAGGGATTCAATTTCGCGAGTATGTTGTTGCATCCACCGTGCAGAGGGTTCGTCTCTCACCCCGGAGTACGACTTACAACGCTTGTGGTTAACAAGATACATTTCCAGCTTGGAGGCTGCAATTTCTTGCCCTTCTCTTTTCAGAATTTAACCGCGGGGCCGGAGAAAAATAGGACCCGAGTGGGCGAGCAGTTTGCTCAGCTGCCGTGGCTATGTTGCCGTTTAACTTTCGTTCCGACATTTTTGGTTATGGGTTTCTTTTTCATGATCTGCTCCTGCCATGGAAGGGGGGGGGATGATGATGCTAAGAAAGCATCAGGCTTCAGATTGCAGGAAGAAACTCTGATCAAAAGAAAGGAGGGGGGGGTCCAGTGACACGACACGCCTGTTAACCAAGGAGACACTTGGCCCTGTCTTTGGAACTCGGCTCTTGTGCAATTAGCACCACACTAGCCGCACAAAGCAAAAAAAAATAATACATAGGAATGCTGCAGATTTTTGCAGAGGCAACATTATTTTTACGACGTACGAGTTCCTCTTTTGCTAAGTCGGCAAAAGATCAGCTGTTGTCTGAAGCAGCTGACAGGTGTTTTTAAAAGAAAAATGAAAAAGCAATAAAAAAACCCGGATTTAATTTGTCAGGCCTTTGGATAGAGGGGAAGATGACAGTTCTGGTTTTGTAGGACTTCAGAAAACTGGGAACGCAAGAGGAAAAAGCCAAGGGGGTGCAACGGTTCTCCCTGTGAAAACTTGGGGCCACCCATAGCAGGAACCGCAGATTTTGGGCCAGCCGAACGGGAAGGAAGCCTTCGCACAATCCATGCACAGAACTCATGAATTTCAAGCTAGGTGCCTCTAAAAGTAGGGACACAAAGAAAGCTTGGCAATGCATCCTTTAAAAGGGAGACCAGCCCCCTGGGCAGTGCAAGGAGCTTCGCCTTCAGATTTCCACTAGTCATCCAAACAGGCCAATTCTGACCCTCCCATTTCTCAAATCTCGCTCTCTTGCAGCAGGGAGAAAATATCCACCCCTTCGTCCTTTTGCATGGGAGGATAAAGGAAGTCACAACAGACATTCCGTCCTAAAAGCTATTAAGCCCATTAGGGAGTCTGGACCTCCTAATAGCCGTAATAACCGAATGGACCGTCCATTTTTAGAAGTACTGCATATCTGCAAATGCCATATTTTAGGAACGGGCAAGGTGGAAACGATGCTGGTTCCATGTTTTGACGGTACACATTTCCAAAGCGTCTTCTGCACCGCGGGGGCTCCTTATTAGCCCCAAACAGCCCAATGACACTTTGGGTCTCTGTCGTTAAGAGTTACAGAGACCAGCGCGGGCCTGACTCGCAAGCCCACCGACCCTCTCCAACAGCCTCCTCTCAACGCCATCTCCTCTGGCCCAATTCTGCCATTAGAGGACAGGTTCCAAGGGGTACCCGGAGGCCGATTGTTTGAGAAGATTCATTCCCAGTACCCATCAAAACGCCCAGATTTTTCTGTGCAGAAGATGCCAGGGGGCACCCTGGTTGACTTCTCTGCATTTATGAGGACCGTGAGGGTTTGGTGCTAAGCTTTCTTACCTTCACACCCCGCGGGCCGGGATATCCGATGGGACCCTGAGGGCCGGCCGGACCCTGTGGTTGAAAGGAAAGGAAACAGAAAGGATTTAAGCTCCGGTTAAATGGAGTTGGCATTTATTTGATCCTCTTTTTTTTTTTTTAGTTAGTTAGTTCTGTAGCCACCCGATCCAGGCATTCCAAGGGAAGCCCGTCTGGTCCATACATACCTGACTCCCTTTCTCCCCCGGGGGACCTTCTTTGCCAGGGTGGCCCTGTGATTAGGAAAAGGAAAAAGAAAGGGGGGAAAATATAAATAAATAATTAAATGGATGGATGGATGGATGCAGAGAAATACATAACGGATGTCTTTCCACACCACGAGCATGTCATTTATTCAAGGTGCACATCAACGCCCTTTCCGGCTTTGTCTGTACGCTCTCTCGCACGTTATCCCTCTAGACGGTTTGCAGATTTCCATTTATGCAGATGGCGACTTCTTAGCGAAGAACGGATGGAGCCGAAGACTCTAGCAAGCTCCTAGTGGCCGGTTTAGGCCTTTAAAGTCTCCAAGGCTGGGCTCAGATGCCCTCCCTTGGTGGCTATTAGCCTTCCTAATCAGCTGGATGAAAAGCAAGACTCCATCCAAAATAGGCCACCCAACAGCCAGCCAGGAGCCCTCCCCTCCGTTCTTCGGGGCTGACGGGGTGAACTCTGCCCAGAGGACGGGGGCAAGCCAAAGGGTGGGGTGGGGGTCCTGAATGCGTCTTCCCTACAGCTAGAGCCGGCACTGATTCTGTCACCCCGGCGTTCCTCAAAGGCCCATTCCTCTTCGCAGGCAAAGATACACTCGGAGCGACAGACAGGAGGAAATGTGTAGCTTTGGCCCAAAGGGGCCAATTCTTCCCTGCAGGCAACAGAACTGTGGAGGTTCTAGCTTTCTAAGGGCAAAATATAGGCCAGGGCATCATCCTGTTCGACTAGAAGCTAGGGCTTAAATCCCAGGGAGGACAAAGCTGTGATGATCTGGGCTATGTCTCCCATGGGCCCCAGCCAACAGCACCCAAGGCAGGGGACGATGGGAGACGTAACCCGACAACTCCTGCTCATTATGGATTTACACCCACCACACCTTTCCCCGACGAGGGCGTTCCTCTTTCAGGGTCACCTTGCCCCCGTCAGGCCCACAGGTGGGCGCTCCCCGGGGGCAAGGCGGTCCTCCCTTTCTCATCCAGTTTCTAGAAGGAAGAAAAGCCACTCGTTTCCTCGGTCAAGCTTACCGGAGGGCCGTCAGCTCCTGGCATTCCGGGAAGGCCGGGTTTCCCCACGGGGCCCTAGGAGAGGAAGCGGAAAGAGGGTTAGCGACCCACCACGTCCACCCCAGAAGCCCGAGAAACCTCAGAGAACTGAACCCTCCCTGTTGCAAGTTTTCCTTCTGCCCGGAGGGGAGCAGCTGGAGGTGGTGCAGACGCCCGAGGTGGTGGGTGGGCTCGAACCCGTCCACTAGCCACGTGGGGTGTCCGCATCCTGCCCACAGGATAGCGCTCAGGTGTGGGGCGAGGGAGACGGGAGCGTTTGAAAGCCCCAATGGTGGCTGGACGATTTGCAATAACCTACCTTTTCTCCTGGGGGGCCGATCGCACCTTGAGGACCCGGAAGTCCCTAAGAGGAGGGGAAGGGAGAGAAAACAATGAGCAGACACAGACACACACACACACAAATACACAACACAATTTGTTGAGATATTGATCAGAAGGAGGCCACGAACCAAGCCTAAAGCTTTCATCCCAAAGCATGTGCTCTACTGCATTTAGTTAATGAATCGCCATTAGGGGCAACGAGAAGCGCTTGGGTCCCTGGTTCCCATCCCTACAAACGACAGATCCCAAGCAACGACAGGGAACGGACTGCATCTCAAATGGGCAGAGGGGACCCCTTTTGCAACTGGCCAAAGACAGCACCTTCTCACCTGAGCGCCTGGGTTTCCCTGCTGACCTGGCGGGCCGGGCTCACCTTGAGGACCCTTGGAAGGGAAAAGAAAAAGTGTGAAACTCCATGCTCCAAAGGCTGTAGGCCATAGATTTCAGAAACATCTTCCCTCGGCCTGCCATGGCTCCCTCGTCGAAATGAATGCCGATTATACACATGCTGACAGGGGCTCAAGGAATTTGACTCTCTACTCTTCCTCTCTCACCATCCACCCGAGCAGACCTGTAAACTCTCTGCTTCTGACCATGTGGTAGATCCAGAATCCCACGTGATTTAGGCTGCAATTTCTTTCTTTTATACTTTTATTCTTCTGACTGTAACTGAAGTCCCACAACGGTAAGTAAAGATGTGTTCCTTTTCTACTAAAGCTACTTATCAAGTGATTTTGTTGGGCTAGCTCTGAGACTTGAGATACTCTCTCAAGCTTTCTTTGTGCAGGTGCTGTTTGTACTTTAAACTCTGCTCACAACAAAGTCACAACAAAGAGTGCCACAAGATACCTCACTTTGACATGGAGAATAATTTTACGTTTCCTCATCTCTTCACGTGGGGACGAGGCAAGGATCTACATCCCTGCTGTTCACACATGGTCATTCACGGAGGGGATTTCCCTGCTCCTTGATTTGAACAAGCAGCCATGGACTCAAGGTAGAAACACAACATGCGGGCACACATGAACACACACACGTCTGTGTAAGGCTGCTTTGACAATCATCCGTCACCCGAAGTGTGTGCATCTGTTTGTTTGTTTTTGAAGAAAAGTGATACACCATACCAGTGGGAAATCAATTTCACGATAAACATTAATTAGCAGCTCTTTAATTGAGGAAAACAACATCCACACCCACTGAAACGAAGGCGGTCTTTAAAAAGCCATTGGGAAATGAACTTTACACAACACGGGTGCGCACTCTGGGCTACAGAAACTTACCACGTTCCCCTTAGGGCCTGGTTGTCCATCCATGCCTGCTATGCCCTGAGGAGAAAGTTATAAAAGATAATATGAGGGTGTGTGTGTGTGTGTGTGTGTGTGGGATCCAATTATTCTGAGAAAATGAAAATAAAGATAGTTTTCCTAGCAAGAAGTGTTTCGGTTCAGACCTAAAGGGTTTGTTGGTGTGTGTGTGTGTGTTTGTTGTGATGCGCTGGCAAGTGAGAACCAACCTATAGTGACCCTGGTGGGGCTTCTCAAAGAAAGCCAAATATTTAAGAAGTGGTTCGCCTCCATTCCCCCCCCCCCCCCCGCCCCCAGACCGATGGTGGGGAGAAAAGCAGTTTTTAAGAGGTTTCCTTGCAGTTTCCTCTGCAAATCGCAGAAGTGTTTACTTTTTTTTTAAAGGAAATATGACCGCCAGGACCCACTTTTTTTCGACTACAGGTGTAAGAGAGCACAGTGGTCCCCCATTAGCTACGCGACTTGAGGAGGGGAAGACAGTCCCAAGATGAATGCACCCAGTGGAAATGTCAGGCCGCTCAGATCAATGCCTGCCACAAGATGCTAGTCCTCACCCTCTGCTTTTCCTACCCTTGGCAGGCTGGCTGTCCGCTTCCAGAAAAGGGGAGGCATCAGTGGGAGAGGAAGGCCTGCCACCCACACACACACACACACAACCCCGGAAGAGATGACACCTTAATCCTTTGGTTGCTTGGCTTGGAGCAGCTGCCCAGCGACACCCCTGCGCCTCCTGGCGAGGAAGTCCAGCCGGCTCCAAGTCCGGACTCCCTGCTTGCTCGTCTCCACATCCCTGTCGGGTAACTTGGGGCGCCCTTGTTTCACGAGGTGGGGGGCTTTTCTTCTGCTCTGTGACGGGTCCAGAGCCCAACCTGAGAGCCATACCTTAGGACGGAGTTTGCCCGCCTTCCCTCCGGGGAGACGGAGCAAAACGTGGCAAAACGGGGTGGTTATAAAGAAACCAAGCTACTCACCGGGGGCCCCGGGGGGCCAGGAGGCCCTTTCGGTCCCAGCAACCCACGAGGTCCCTGTTGGAAGAAGGAGACACCGGTCGAATCATCCCATAAAGATAAGATGAGGTGGGACTCTCGGGGGAAACCAAACAAGGTACGTTTCTTGGCCATCTCAAAACCCCACAGCTACCCCCTGGATTTTGCCTATTTTGGTGGGCTGGGCTGGGCGGGGTGAGGATCCAGGCTTCTTGACAAGACTTTGGTCCTGCAAAACGCCCCAGGACAGAAGGCAGCAGGAACCTCTCCTGCTTGGTCCAAAGGCTTTCCTGACGTGGGATGCTTTGCGGCTGGTACTCTCGGGGCTCCGTCCATCATCTGGCCCCACGGGCCACGTCAGGGGCCAGGTGAGGACTCCGGCTCATGGGGGGAGGGATGCGGCTATTTCAAAAGCTCAGGAATGAGGAACTGGGAAACCCTTCCTTGTGCATCGGGAAAAGTAGGCAATGGCCCACAAAGACTTGAAGCCCCACAAAACGTTGCCCCGTCTTTTGTTTCCTTTCTCCTTCCGGCGCCCGGGAGTTCTGGAACCGAAAGAGGCTCGAAATCCAGTGGAAATCCAAAGGAAGAGGAAAGGAGAATCCAAGGGAAGGGTCTCCACCGCTGACCGTCGTCCAGGGACCCTCTTAATGATGGCATTATCCCGCCTTTGGCCGCTTTATTATTTTAATGGGTCGTACAGCTTTGCTTAATTGTATAAACCGCCCTGGGGAGCGTTTCCCTACGCCGGGCGGTGGTCTCGAAGCTCTACAAATTAATTAATTAATGGCCACACCTGCGCGCACGTCGGCGCTTCTAAAGGAGCCGGCGTATCAGAAATTCTTAACGGGAAACATGTTGCAGATTACAAAGGACGGCGACACCCGGGTAGATTTTAATGAGGTATCTCCAGCCTCGTTCTTGACGGGATGAGTTGGTTAGCATTCCCCGCCTCGCCGCCGGCCCCCCTCCCTTCTCCCTCTCCTCCCATGTCCCTAACATCTTTGAAAAAAGCCATTCAACTAGAAAGCTCATTTTCACAACCGGTCGTGTTTGCCTTTTATTTCTGGATTGCTGATCTTTATCTGCTAGAGATGAAAAAGAAACGGGGGGGGCCCATGGGTGAGCGTGTCTGGGAGAAGCAGAAGCAGCACTCAAAATCTATTGCAAGGCACTGTAGGGCTTAGCGACTTCGTGGATGCCCACCCTCCGGGCAACAACGGCGGATGGACACTTCGAGATGGGCACTTCGGGAACGCATCCAGGGAAGTGACCTTCATTTTCTGGGTGGCGGTGGGTGGGTTTTTTTTGTTTTGTTTTGTTTGTTTGTTTTAAAGAATACTATTGACTTACAGGTTCACCGGGGAGACCTCTCGGTCCATGCTCTCCATCATCACCCTGTTTCGCGGAGGCGGCAGCACGGAAACAAAAAGGAAAAAGGAGGGATTAAGAGCCACGGATAGCCTATCACACGTAATTCCTCTAGGGGTGGCTCCCTTCGCGCGGGCAAGGCCAGCCGTAGGCAAGCGGGTGCGCCAACCACGGCGTGTCCTTGAGATGCAGAAGCGCCACCGACGGGACTCACCCGCTCCCCGTCTTCGCCCGGAGCTCCTGGAGGACCTGACGGTCCCGGTTCACCCTGAGAAGACAAAGGGCAGAATCAGCTGGCCGACCCCAGGCCAAAGGCCAAAGGCGCCATCCATGTTTGTAAACAGGCAACGAGATGGATTTCTAAGACGAGATATTCCAGTTTCTCCTTCCATTTTTTTTAACTGCATTTAGCTTCCAAATAGGGGTTGGAATCCTATTATATAGAGCAAGACCCCCGTATCCACAGAGGACTGGTTCCAAATCCCCACCCTTGTGGATATTGACGACCACGGATAACAGCAACCACTATTATAATAGCAATCCTATAATGGAATGGTCTTGGGCTCCCTCTAGTGGCCTGTTCTGGTCACTACATCATAAAAATACCTATTTCTGGGATCTGTCTTTTAATATTTTTAGTATTTCCAGACCGTGGGGCAGGGATCCCACGTATAAGGGGGGTCCTGCTGTATTTCCACTAGGTGTGTAACTTTGAGGGACTCCTGTGAACGAAGAAGTGAGAGTAGGCCTTTCCTCTCGCTTACTGGAGTCACGCAATGGGTGATTGTCAACGTTCAGCAACCTCGTGGGAGGCAACAGAGGCTGTCCACGGAGAAGAAGCCCCAGGAGGATATGCAGCACACAGAGAGGCCACGGCAGCCACGTGGCCGTGTGGGGAGGAAACGGAACAGAAGCCCAAGAACCTCGGACCCAAGCACTCACCCGATGTCCCTTCTCCCCTGGCAATCCAGCGAGGCCATCAAAGCCTCGGTCGCCCTGCAAGAAATTCCAGACAGAGAGAGAGAGAAATGGTCAAGGCAGGATTCGGGACAGAGTCCTGTTGGAACCGTTCCCTTTCCAACTTGCTTTGCAGGCACCGATGCAAGGCAGAAGTCTCGTCAAGAGATCTCAGAGGAAAAAGAAAGAAAGCAAGGAAGAGCCAGTAGCCCTTTTCTCAGCCACCTCCCATTCAGGAGCGCTATTTGGGCACTCAGTACCTCCGGAGGGCATCATGGCCAGGGACACACTCCTGACCACCAGGAGCCGAAGTAAATTGGAGGGGGGGTTAGGGAGGGAGGGAGGAGATGGCAGGGGCTGCCCCTCTCAGCCCCCAACCCCTCAGTTTCCCCCTTCTCATCCACCCCCAGCTCATAACAGGAACAGGGGTGACCTGAAGGATGATTCTCTGTGGCTCGTGTGGAAGCAATTTAAGCTGCCCTTGCAGGATCCGTGAGGGGCGTGTTGATGGATGGCATTTCGCTGGGGCACAGAGTATCCTTGCACCTCCTCCGAGAGAGGAATTAGCTCCTGTCTGGGCAGCGATCCATCATCCAGCCCTCCCTCTCTCCTCTCGCCTTTGGTTGTGTGTGTGTGTGTGTGGCAGACAAGGACCTCTCGCCTCCTCAAGACTCCCTTGTTCTTTGGGCAGGTGTGTGTGTGTGTGTGTGTGGCAGACAAGGACGACGGTTGTGACACTTAAGGGATGAGGGAGCTCCTCCTCGGCTTTTCTTGGCCCTGGCAAACCCCTCCGTCCGTCCGCTTTCCATTCCGAGCACCTACACCGTCGGGCACTTAAGCTTCCTCGTATGCAGCTTGAAGGCCCTGCTTCCCCAATTCAGATTCACGGCTAATGGCTTCTGTCTCTTTTGATGAGAGCCCTTCCCAAAGCAACGTGAACAGAGAAAGGAAGGAAGGAAGGAAGGAAGGAAGGAAGGAAGGAAGGAAGGAAGGAAGGAAGGAAGGAAGGAAGGAAGGAAGAAGGCTACGAAGGAGGGGGTTCCTTTATGAATTACTGCACAACCCTTCAAGGACGAGCCTTGCGTCTCAAGCTCACTGTCACCAAGTTTCCACGAGGGATGGTTTCCTTCGACCATGAACACAATTTTCCGACTTGCTTTCTAGAACATCTGTGATGGGTAGGGAGGAAGAACCAGCAAAAACCTGGCATTATCCATTTTAATTCAACGAAGGAGGGGGTTCCTTTATGAATTACTGCACAACCCTTCAAGGACGAGCCTTGCGTCTCAAGCTCACTGTCACCAAGTTTCCACGAGGGATGGTTTCCTTCGACCATGAACACAATTTTCCGACTTGCTTTCTAGAACATCTGTGATGGGTAGGGAGGAAGAACCAGCAAAAACCTGGCATTATCCATTTTAATTCAATTACCTTTGGTCCGGTCTGCCCGGGCATCCCGCGAGCGCCGTCACTCCCAGCACGTCCCTAAAACGAGAGAAAGCGAGAGCGACTGCTGTGAGTGGGGCGGTGGGGAGAAATTACACGGCGAAGGAGGCCAGGCCCCCATCCGCTCCGGGGCTCAGAAGAGAGGGCAGAGTCACCCACCCACCCCACTGCTTCGGCCACGGAGGCAACATTTCGTTCCCAGCCCATGGCAAAAGGTCCTTACAGGTCCCGGGGTTGCCTGACCCCTTCGCCGGGCAGAATCCTCCCCCTGCTCCAAACCTCCCCGCCATCAAGCGCATCTCTGCGCCAAGACGCGCCCACCTAAGGGACACACCCGGTCAAGACTGAGCCCTGAGACACCCCCGGCCCACTTCCTCCACGTGGCTCTCCATCGGCACCCTTAAACCAAGGATTTGGGGCAATGGACCAACGGATGAGCCTTCCTCCCCCTGAGCAGCCGTGTCCATTTCTCCCTCCCCGCTCCTGCGTTTGACTTACCCGGCGGCCTGGCTTCCCTGATGGGCCGGGGGGGCCCTGCACACCTCTTGGGCCCTGGAAATAAATCGGACAGCATGAAAGCAAGAAGCACCGGCTGATGAGGATGGACCAGATGAAGGTCATTTGTGACATATTCTACAAGGAGCAGCACCCCCAGAGGGCTTAGGAACAGGATGGACAGCCAGGGGGTGTCGCTTGACACCGGGGGCCAAGTCCAGATCAGGAGCCTGGAGTCCAAAGGAGTCCAAAATCCATGCTGAGCCCACCAAGTTCTCTCCAATGGACCTCCTGGCCCCTCTTCATCATTTCCCAAGGTCGGGGCAAACAGTTTTACTTCCTCCTTATAAGACACCAGTTAGCTGTTGTTGTTTTCAAGACCAGAAAAGTTATTAGGAGAGGTTAAAAGTTTAATTAACTGTTGACGGGCTCAATACCCGTCTAATTATTTTCTACCACGCTTCTCATCTTCGATTGTTGATTGTTGGCGGTTTTCTTTGTCGGAGGAGAGATGCCAGGGCTTCTCCGCAACATCTGTCAGCAGATCCAATTCTAGTGGTTTCTGTGACCGATTCGAAGGCTTTCCACCATCGCAAACACCACTATTTTGCCCCATATTTGGAGAGAATTTTCAGAGTCGGCAAGCACCTGTCTCCTACCTTTTATTTGCTAGTGAGTTTCTGGAATAGTCTATCCTATTCAAAAGCCATAAGCTCAAAGCAATCCACCTCGTGCAGACGGGATCCGTCAAAAACCCTGCACCAGAACAATCCTGGCCTACTTACGCAGACGGCCACCCCTTTCTGCACCAATTTAGCACCGGGCATCTAGGGCAGAGCTCGGGAAAACTCTGGGAAAAAAAGGCACATTTCCACGCCAGTTCCGAAACGAGTTCAAGGAAGCCTCAAACCAGTAAGACCAGCATGGAAACATGAGGGAAGCAATGAACCCACAGAAGCATAAATGAAAGGACCGGGGAGAGGAGACCCTCCCCCAATTGAAGGTCGCTCCATCACTGGGTGACGGGGGACCATCTCTGACGTACCTGAGGCCCCATGTCTCCTGGTTCACCCTTGATTCCTCCACCCCCGGGGGGTCCCTGTGGAAAAAGAGATGTTGATCAATATGTACAAATGAACAAACTCTGCCTTAGGACCCCAAGACCTTGCCGGGCAGCTCTAGTGGACACTTATAAAGACTGCCCTGATGTGTAGGACACACTAAACTGCTCAAACGCTGTTATCTTTCTAACCCATGATTCAGCCGAGGTCCCAGAATTTCCGTCTTCAAGAGATCCAAGTGAACCGCCGTGTTCCGGAGAAGAAGATGACCCACTGCAAAGCCCAACAGCAAAACGAGTCAGCTGCCCTTTTGCTGTGAGAACCCCTTACTTATGGGGTTATTTAGGTTGCTTACCATCGGTCCCGGCCTTCCAGTAAGACCCATTGGGCCAGCTGGTCCTCTCAGCGCCAGCTGCAAAGGCATCAAGAAAGAAGACGTCGTGAAGGAATTAATCAGCAAAGTGCTTCCAATGTTTAGAAGGCGATGCTCTAGTCACTCACCAGAAGCCACCATTTCCACCATTATCAGTGATGTACAAAATGGAGGTTCCCTCCTCCTCTCCCCACCTTGTTTACTAGGAACAGGATTTTCTGGTCTAGAAATACAGTAATTTTATTTTCTGAGAGTTCTATCTACTTTGCAGGCGACTTTCAAATACCTCCCTTTGGCTCGCCTGGGAGAAAGGCCTAGGTGGAAAGGTTTCAAGGCCGAGCTAGGCCTAGCTCAGCCTCAGAGCATTCCCATCTAGGCTGGGTGATGATGATGATTTTGCAAAAAGTCCCCAAACATGACGAAAATGTGCAAAACCATTAATTGCACTGGGGGTGTGTGTGTGCTCAGGAAGGAAGAGATGGGCTACCATGCACAGATGAAATAGGCAAATATTCCTGGCCTTGTTTCTCTCGGTCAGGGTTTCGGGTTCTGCTCCCTGTCCAAAGTCAGATCAGAGTCCCACCCTCGGTGCAGAAAAGGAGGTGAAAGCACCAAGTTACCGTATTTTTCGCTCCATAAGACGCACCTTTCCATAAGACGCACCAATTTTTTAGGAGAAGAAAACAGGAAAATATAATCTGTTTTCTTCACTCCATAAGACGCACAGACTTTCCACCACCCCCCGTTTTGTGGGGGAAAAGTGCATAAATTTCTTCCATGGCAAAAGTCCACCTCACTTATTTTCCAGGAAGGGAGGGTGGGATCGAGAGAGAGCGAGAGCCCAGGATGTTTAATTGCTACTTTATGCCCCGATACAAAGAGCAAGAATTCAACCTGAAATGTCAGGGTTTTGTTTTATTTTTACCTTTTCCATCGCTAATTAAAAAGTCACGTCGCCACGGCAGAGTCAATAAATCTCCCGGCAGTTAATGGGCCTGTCCACACTATTCTAATGACAGGGGGGGATAAATTTCTTCCATGGCAAAAATCCAATACTTTAAAAGACCTGTAATTATCTGTGCTCCCTGTTAATTAAAATCCACCCAGGGCTGCAACTGTAAAGACCAAAAAAAATAAATGTTGCTGAAATACCGGGTTATTTAGTGAAAGATGCTCCCCTATTAAAAGGGGGGGAATCATGTTGCTACTTTGGACTCAGGAGCAAAAATCTGCACGGCAAGGGAATGGGTAATGTCGAAACACGTAAAGACCAAAAAAAAGAAAAAATGTTGCTGAAATGCCGGGTTATTTAGTGAAAGATGCTCCCCTATTAAAAGGGGGGGAATCATGTTGCTACTTTGGACTCAGGAGCAAAAATCTGCACGGCAAGGGAATGGGTAATGTCGAAACACAGCCATCTGCAAGACCCAAAGGATTTAAGAGAGAATAATGCGGTGGCCGGGAAAGTCAGATCCCTTGCACATCCACCCGGTTAACTGCACTGTCTGAATGCTAGAGAAGGAGTCAGGGTGTATAAAATTCGTGACTCCAGAAGCGCCACCGTCTGCCACAGGGACACGTGTATTTGTCCCTGGTGACCCAGCCTGGAGCCAAGCCACGCAGATCAAGGGGTACGGCAGCAAATCCTAGTGGAAGTGCCCATTCGCCTTCCCTTTGCCATGTTCTTCGCCTCACGAGCAACCGTGGGAAGAAATTCCTCAGCCTTGCTGATAAAAGGGTTTGCATTGGGGAGAAAAGACGGGAGGTTTTTTGTGCAGAAGCGCCCTTGCAAAAAAAAAAATGGGCCCAAAATTTCTCAGCACGTGCAAACGATGAGCTTGCATGAATGGCCCAGAATGAGGAGGATAACTCCTTCAGCTCCTTGGCGGAAAGACGGGAAAGGAAGGGCAGCCCATAGAAAAGAAGGTCAGTGAATGGGAAGAGACGCCGGGGCGCACGGGGGTGGGGGGAGAGAGACTCCTACCCGGGCTTGCTGGAGGATGGCTTGCGCCTGAGACTCCTGGGCGGAGACCATGGGACCTTTCGAACCCCCGTCTCCTCCACCGCTGAACCGGAACTGTGGGGGAAACAGAGAGGAGCGTCAAAACGGGGACACGTTTTGACCACGGAGGTGGTTGTCCCCTGCCAACCACCTCCGAACCATGGTGAGCCTGCAGCATCCTCTGGCCACCCGGCATACTCGTTTCCCATGAGTGGTCCTACCCCCAAACCTATTCCCCTCATGCAGATTTATTCCCACTTTGTGGCCTTTGACACCTCCCTCTTGCACACGCCCTTAGCGCTGTTTTGGCCACGTCCCAAGACTTGAGCCCGGGCCGTGGAGACACAGGGAACGAAAGAAAGGGACCACAGGATTCAGCCGAGGTGGCATTTGGAAGCAGGTTATGCCACGCTGGATGGTTGGCTTGATACATCGTCCAGCTCAAGGTACCAGATACTCACCGGAAGCATCAGCATCGTTCCTGGAGGTCCCGGCAAACCGTCGGCGCCAGGGAGTCCTGATCGCCCGGGGGGGCCCTGCGAAGAGGGGGGTGGAATAAAGAAGAGCCTTTAAACTCCAGAAGTTTCTTTTGGACGAGGCGTGACGGGAAGGTTCAAGCAGTGAGCCGCTCATCAGCCCAACCTCTTCTCGTCCTCCAGTTTCTGCTTCGGAGACGAGAACAGTGAGGAAAGTAAAAGGAAGAGGATGATTTTGACTCAACCGGGACTTAATCCTAATCATTCTCCTGCTCCTGTTATGCTGGTCACACCAGCGCAGGCCAGAGCTTGGACGTAACACATTATGTTGTGCAAATTTGGTTTATGCATTTGTTTTGCTTTACTCTGGCCACTCCGCATCAATCTGCATGAAGCAAGCTCTGTTCTGGTTTTGGAATTTGGGACCTACCTGAAACGAAAAAGGTGATCAAGGTGATGATGTCCAGAGACACCAATCAGTCTAAACTCGCACAAGGATTTGAGAGAATATTCTGCATTCAGTGTCTCCCAAACCTGCAAATCTTTACTCTGGTCGGTTGCAGCTTAGAGGCAAAGGGACACGCGTCTTTCGGAACGCACTTTCCATGTGAGAAGGTGGTCACATCATACACACGTGTGGCCTGACATGTGGCCACATGTTCTCTAGAAACTCAACACATAAGCCTGGCCCTCCACGTCCAACAGAGAGACCAAAGCAGAGTGTCAAGAGGTGTAACTTAACAACCCACCATGCGCACATTACCAGGCTCAGCACCTCCAGAAAACACATATTGACTTCTTTACAAGGAAGGATCGATGGTGCTCAGCCAGGCCTTTCATGTTCCATCATCTCACACCTCGGGAAGATTATGATGAGGCCATCAAAGAGGCCATCAAACACACAGGGAGCATCAGAAGGAAGATTATGATGAGGCCATCAAACACACAGGGAGCATCAGAGGGGCAACCCTCAACTCCAGAAGGCCCAAGGACCCTTCCCTCCAGTGGGTGCTCGTCAGAGGTCCCATTCCCTGGCCATGTAGGCTGGGGACGATGGGAGGTGCGGTTCTGACCGATCTGGAGGGCAGCAGGTGGAGGCCGGGCTGTGCCAAGGTTATAGCAGGGGGTCCCCAGGAGAGAAAAAATGCAGGGAAATTTAAAAAAATTGTACAGAGGCGAGTCTTGAAGGGAGAAGGGGTGCAAAAAAGCATCTTGTTGTTTTCTCGTGAACTGGGAACCCCACTGTGGGCACCCCAGTTTTAAGCAAAGAGGTTTATGTTTTTGATAAGAGGACACTGGTTTTTTTTTTGGTTTTTTTTTGAGCTCAGAATGCCGTCGTGCCTTGAGCTCAACCTGCGAGTCGGCAGCACAAATAATCAATCACCAAGCAAAGCATCCAACCAACAGTGGGGAGGGTGTACCGTAGGGAGACCCCAAACTGGCATTTTTTCTCCTTGAGCTCAACCTGTGAGTCGGCAGCACAAATAATCAATCACCAAGCAAAGCGTCCGACCAACAGTGGGGAGGGTGTACCGTAGGGAGACCCCAAACTGGCATTTTTTCTATATCAGGGATCCCCACGCTTTCGGAGAAGGCGGAAAAGAGCGATGGGTGCTGGTGTTGTAGGACAGCAATTATACCACTAGGTGTCAGGCCTCAATTAATCTTATAAATAGGCACAGCTCCCATTTTTTAAGCAGCTTTCTTTGCCGGAGAAGCCACGCACCCTTGAGAGCAGGAGGCGCCAAAACTTCTAACTCTGGCGTTGTAGAAGGGGTGGCGGTGCTCGCCTGCGCCAGCATTAGAGGTGCAAGCAATTTAAAAAAATATATACTGTACGTGAACAAAGAGAAAAACGGGGTGGCCCTTTAAAGACTAACTTTTCTATTTTTTTTAATAGGCACTTTTGTGGCCAAGTCCACTTCATCAGACAATATTTTTTTTAATAGGCACTTTTGTAGGCAAGTCCACTTCATCAGACATAACAGCCCCTCATTCGCACTCCTTGTGACTCTACCACTGCTGTTTTGCCAGAGGTCCTCACCTTCTCTGCATTGCAAGCTTCAGTCCAAGACCTGCCTAGCAAGGACAGGATCGTCACCATGTTTAACACCCACTGACGTTCTTGCCCACCAACCACCCTCTCCGTATTTTGATATCTGTGCTTGGGACTTTTATGTTCCGCCGTCCCTGCGCCATCTGCCAGGGGACTCCCCCGGCCTCCCTTCTCAGAGCCCCTGTGTGCTGCAGGTGGTCCTTTGGCACCCTCTGGCCTGGGGGGGGGGCTTCGGCATCACCCCACAGGGGCCCAGCAAGTCCCTTTCACAAAGGTGTGCACTGGATCTGGCCACATCCCAAATGGGACACAAACAGCACGCATGGTTAAAAGCCATTAAAAATATGCATTTTCAGAGGAGTGGGGCTCCTCCTGCTGGCCATTTCTGGGCTTTGCAAGGCAAGGTTTCCCGTTTAATTGGATGGCGTTCAGGAGGTAACATAGAAGAGGGATGGATTTTGGAATTCTTCATTTCTCCTCACTCTGTTAGACATACTATACTCTCAAAGGGGTGGGGAGGGGAGAGAAATCCAGTGAATTTACCCCAGCCTTGATACAGCGGATTTCCTACGCTTGAAACAACTTGGACGTAAATCAGTTCTACTTTATCGAGTGAGAACACAACTGGGGGGGAGAGAGATTCCTTTTTGTGGCCTTTGCATTGGGATGCCCAGCCCCACAGTTTGTACAAGACCTCCTCCCCCCCCCACCTCACTTATTTTCCAGGGGTGGGAGGATGATTTCTGCAAGCAGTTTGAAGCCCTTGCCCTGCCCTTAAGCATCGGAAGAGGGAGGGAACCAGAGAAAAGTGGGACTGAAACGGAACGAAAAGAGATCAAACATGGAGAACAACTCACCCTTTCGCCAGGATCTCCGACTGGACCCATGGATCCAGTAGGTCCGGGAGGTCCAGGAAGTCCCTGGTGGAGGAGAGGAAACAAGAACACAACAGCATGAGCTTCAAGGCAAAAGGGCGAGTGTGTGTGTTTGTGTGTCTGAAAGAGGAAAATTACGAGAACAGCCTTTGTCGTGGTCAAGCCACCCTCCTAGGGAAGGAATTGCATCCAAAAGGATCTTTGGCTTCTACGCCTTTCCCTCCAGCTCGGGGGGGGGGATCCGTTATTGTCTCCGATGGGGAGGGGAAAAGGGTATGTGTGTGAAAAAGATGTCTCCTACTTACGGCTGGGCCTTCCGGGCCAGGTGGGCCTTCGATGAGCATCCCCTGCAAGCAGAAGAGGGAAAGGAAACACCAGTCAAGAGGAGGAAGGCTGGCCGACAAGAAGCTGGATCGGAGGAGGAGGAGGAGGAGAGAAGGGATGGCCAGGGTGGGCTGTATCCAGCACCCTCAGCCTGCCTCGTCAAGGCAAGGGGAACGGCCACCCCTCCCTCCTCCATCCTGTCACACACCTTAAACCCCCTGAAACCTGCTCGGGACGGCAGAGAGTCTCTTTCCCCCCCCGGTCAGCTTCTCCATGCCAGAGACGCCCAACACCCTTGTGAGAATCCCACCGGACGGAGGTCTAAACCTGTTCTTAGCTTCTTTCTCTCTCACACACACACTGGAAGTGAGGGATTGTGAGAATCCCACCGGACGAACGTCTAAGCAACTGGGGGGGAGGATGTTACTTTTTTTTTTTTGGTTTTTTTTGCCTGTGTTGGGGCCACATTGAGAAAGAATGAAACCTGTTCTTAGCTTCTTTCTCTCACACACACACTGGAAGTGAGGGATCTTACAGATCTTCAAAAATCCTGTTGACAAACGGTCCCACCCTGTAGAGACCACCAGAACTGGGGAAGAACCAGGGCTGTTCTCTCTTCCCCTGGTGGGAAACGCTTGCAACCCTCGGCGGCTCTTCCACAGAAGAGCGACATGAGGTGGCCTCAGCCAGAAGGTGAAAGAAGAGGTTGGGTACGGGGACCGTTCGTTCGTGAGAATCTCCTTCCTGGCTTCTATCCTCCTGGGCCTGTTTATCTTTCGCTCACGCTGCTGCTGCTGCTGCGGCTGCTGCCGGGGACATCTGGAGCCTCTCCCTCTTGCAAGAGATCCCAGCTGTTTGGATTTTCTGCTCGGCCCCGTGAAGTGGCGGGAGGGGGGGAGGAAAGGAGGTCCTCGGAAGAAAGGCGAGGAGGAGAAGCGAGGAGGAAGAGCGGGCTGAAAGGTCCTCCCTGCGTCGGGATCGATGGCCTTCTCACCTGAGCCAAGGCGTAAGATGATTCTCGTGGGCCACAGGTAGGGCTTGTTCGGAGTGGAGGTGCCTCCCTTTGCTCAGGATTCAGGCATGGACGCGATCCATATACGGGACCTCTCAGAGGCACTAACCATCCTCTGGCCATCAACCTTTTGGCAAGCTGGACTGCCCATAAAACATCAGCCACTGACCCCCTCCCTGTCACCCCCACTCATTAAAAACACTCCTCAGAGCCCTTAAAGACGTGGTCCCCAGGTGTTCGTGGACTACAAAACCCCCAGACATCCTGCCCCGCGCAGCTCGGGGCGAAGTAGCTTTTCCCTGCACTACGATGGGGAAAAAGGGAAAGCAGGAGGAAAAGAGGAAGAAGACCTAACATGAAATGGATGGACTCAATAAGGAAAGCCACGGCAATGCGTTTACAAGACCTAAGGCTCTTAACGAGAGCAACCAGCCGTGGGGGTTTAAATTGTTTATAGGGTCACCCTAAGTCAGAAACGGTTTGATGGTAGGCGATAACAAAGCTGTGATGGAACAATTGCTCGCAAGTGGGGAGTGCAGGCTGATTTCACCTGAGGATCCCCCCCCCAAAAAAATCTCCCTGCTTTCCAGGAAAATGGTTACCGTAGTGAACCACCTCCTCACACCTGAAGCAATATCTGTGCATCCGCTAAAAACACACACAAGCCTTTGTGGTCGATAAGAGGTTTCCAGGGCAGAGACACCGAGGGCCCCTGCTTCTCTTTGACCTTATTATTTTTTTAAGGACGTGTTGTTGGTAAGGGAGGAAAAGGACAAAGGGAGGCAGAAAAGGGGAAAAGGCAGCTTTTTTTTGACTTGTTTAGCTTCTGGCAACGATTCGGAGGTCTGGCATTTTGCAAGCCAGCAGCCCGGGCTGCCAAATTCTTTGGAGATGATTAAGCTGAACTGTGTTTGGTTCTCTCTCCTCTCTCGGTAACGTCTTGCAGAGAAGCGTTTATGCAACCAGTGGAGCAGGGCCCCTCGGTGTGGAAAAACTTTGCTCCTACGTCTCTTCCCGTTTCACGTTTCGGCCACAATCCCCTTGCCCAAAGCAGCGAGGATCGGATTGAGCAGGTTGGAAGAAGAGGAGAGGGTGCTTTTTTGGGGGGACGGTTAACAGCCGGTATTTCCCTACGCAGGAAAAAACTTCACGGACAAGAGAGAAAAATCTTTCACTCCATAGGCCAGGCAGGGCTCCTGCCTCCGTGCCAAGGAAAAAGTGGGTTAATTGGGCAGGAACAGTTTTGGAACAGGAGGAAAAAAAAATCTCAGGAAGGGTTGCTTTAAAAGGGAAGGGAGAAGTCCCAGCTGCAAAAGGCGTGTGGGCGGGAAAAGGCCCAGGGAGGGGTGCGCAGAAGAGGAAAAGAGATGGTCGGGTTGCACAGCGAAGATTGTTCGCGCTCCTTCCTGCCTTTACGGCTGCACGACAAATGTATCTCTGCAAATACCACAGCAATGAGGAAAGTTTCAGCTGCCAAATGCATTCACATCCTACAAGTGATACATGTCTGGGAGCCTTATTTTTTTAAAAGAAGTTGGCAATCAAACCCTCTCAAAATGGGCTTCATGTTTCAATGAGCCACGATAGTGGTGCTTTGGGATATGAACTTTAGAAATGGGGAAAGCACGGGATGGGGTGTGTCATTCTTTTTTTTTTACGTGTCACCCAGTTCTTCTGTGCTTGCTGCAGAGACATTTCCACAAATCACAGAAGCACTGATAGAAGAAAAAGCGAAGCTCCTTGTCTCACTCTTGTGCTGGAGAAGAAGCATCTCGCAGGCCCTGTCAATTCCTCGTGGAAGGACGAGGGCGGGGGGGGGGCAAGACAAATACAGAACAAGCCCCCCCGGGGTTCTTACCGGCTCAATGATAGCAGGCTCCCCCTTCTGTCCTTTCTCGCCTCGTGGGCCGCCAATCTGTGCCCGAGAAGGAAAAACACAAGTCAGTGACCACTTCGCTCTATCCGTGGAATTAACCACGGGAGAAGGGCAGGCATTTGGAGCAGAACCTTGACCTAAGCAAACCCCACCCCACCCAATTTGTCTTAAGAGACCCAACCACCCACATCACTGAAAGCAGTATCTCTTGGTAGCCATCCAGCCGTTCTGTCTGCCTGTCGCTCGTCTGTTTATCCACTTCACAGGGGATTGAGACCTGAGCACCCTTGTCATGTCATCCCGCCTGCCTCCGGCTGACCTGCCTTGCAAGGGTGTAGTGAAGATGAAGACCAGAATATACAGCCTAATGTTGCTACTCTGGATGGCCTGAACCTTCCCGTTTTGTTCAGGGCCGCCATCGCAAGGGTGTTGTGAAGATGAAGACCAGGAGCAACACAAAGAGTAGGAAAATATATATTGCCTAATGTTGCTACTCTGGATGGCCAGAACCTTCCCGTTTTGTTCAGGGCCGCCATGCTCAGGGGAGACCTCCGAGGCCATGCTAGCGAACGGTCCTTACCCCTTCGTAAATGGTGTCCTGGTTCGCGGGCATCCCCGGCCCAATATCCGGAGAGTCGGTCCTGTCGTAGTAGCCCAAATCGTAGTAGCTGTCGTACTCCTTGATGGTGTCCACTGAGAAGCCTTCTCCCCCTTCGCTCTCTCTTTCTGCCGCCCCCTACGCAAAAAGGAGCGCCTGGGTAAGACAGGAGGGCGGCTGGTGCACCGGCCGGGGGCCATGGGGTGGGACCTCCCCCAATTTTCTCTGCAGCTCCATGCCGCTGAGGGCTAGGAGGCGAGGGAGACCACCCGTCGGCATCCGAACAGGCTGTGTCCCCACCACAACCGCCTCCGGGACACAACAGGGTATCCCTCGGGGGGTTGGGGGGCCTATGTATAACATCTCCCAGTCGGTGAGAAGACAGAGGAGACTCTACCTCTCCACACTCTGAGGCTCACCTGTGCCAGGATACCCTCAGTCTGTCTTAATGACGATGACTTTCGATTTTTTTTTATTTTAAAGGACTGACACAGCTACATCATCTGCATGTTGAACACTATTTTAATTGGGTACGGTGATGTACCGGGTGTCCCTTCCTGGAATCTTAGCAGAATGGGGTCGGAAAGGCCACTGAATGACTTTCCATTTTTCTTAATTTTAAAGGACTGACACAGCTACATCAACATCTGCATGTTTGAACACTATTGTAATTGGATACGGTGATATACCGAGTGTCCCTTCCTGGAATCTCAGCAGAATGGGGTCGGAAAGGCCACTGAATCCGACCCCCTGCTCCAGGCACGGATCCTGCCTCCTTCTGGTTCCCTAACACAGCAGGCAGAAGAACTTACCTCCGTTTCGTTGTAGGTGATGATTGTGCTGGTCGGAACCTCCGCCTCGACGCCTCCTTCCGAAACGTTCTCCAGGTCAATGTCCTCGTAGTTGATATCTTCGTAGGGGAGGGGAGTGTAGTACTCGTCCGTGATGGGGCCGTAGTTATATTCGTCCACCAGTGGGTCGTCCACCTTTTCTTTTTCCACGGTCTCCTCTTCGGTGGCGCCCACAACTGAAGGGGCCGGTGAGGGGAGAGGGGGAAGATCCTGCTCCCAAAGAGGAGACAGTGGATTGATTGATTGATTGATTGATTGATTGATTGATTGATTGATTGCCCCATTAGAGGAAAAGCAGATACAGCAGTTACATGTTGCCAGGGAATCACTCTGCTCTTCCACCCCCATCCGATCGATCGATCGATTGACTGCCCCATTAGAGGAAAAGCAGATAGAGCAGTTACATGTTGCTAGGGAATCACTCTGCTCTTCCACCCCCATCACTATCCTCACTGCCGCCACCGCCACCACCATCATCTCCTTCATTTATATGCTGCTTATCCACCAAGCATCTCCAAAGCAACTTACAACACAACCACAGCAGTAGAGGGGGAAAATAACCCGTACCAACGGAGCGTTGCAATAAGAACAGCCCAAAACTTTCATTACAACACTATCCCACAGAACATAAGCCCCGTGAGGGCCTGATCCGTTACAGAGCACCTATTTTATTTGTTTGTTTTATTTCCAGGCTGCCCTTTCTCCCCATAAAGGGACCCCAGGCGGCCCTTTTGTGGTGCTTGACAGGGACGAAGGCTATGCTCTGCCCACGCTGCGTCCGAGGTAGACGGGGCCTCTGAAATGCTCAGCCTCAGGTCTAATATTGAAAAGGTATGTGCTCAGTTTCCTTGGAATGCACTCCAAGCACGAATTGAGATAACATGGCAACCCTTCTGACACGGGAATTTCACAACTGGAAGGATGCTTGTGTGGCTCCCCCCCTCTTTCCCCTCCTCTTCTCTGGGGACCCAATATGGTCGTATTAGTTGGGTCTTTCTCCCCTCCTACCACCATGGGAGGCCCCCCCCCAGACAGACAGACAGACAGACAGACAGACAGACAGACAGACAGACAGACAGACAGACAGACAGACAGACAGACAGACAGACAGACAGACAACCCTTGCGCCTTACCTCCGTGACTTCAGTCCTTTCGCTGGCCGCCTCTTCGGTCTCCAGCGGTTGCCCGGTGGGCGCCGCCGGTTTAGCCGTGTCATCGGTATCCTCGTAGTAGGGGTACTCGTAATAGTAGGTCTCTCCTTCTGCTTCCAGGTTCCCGTCCCCTTCTATGTACTGCAAAGGAAGCATAGCCACTGAAACTTGGGGGAGCAGGGCAGGGGGGGGTTCCACCAAGAGGCTCTATCTCAGGCTTTCCTCCACCCCAAAGACCCCCTTGTCCTGCTCCCCGAGAGTTACATTTGGCCCTCAAGAGGAGGCCGGCTCTTGCGTTAGGCAGACGGACGAGTGTCCCATCCTGCACGACAAAGGCTCTCTTTCTCCACTGAAGAGCCCACAACGAAGCCACGATGAGACACGCCATTAAGTAAGTGCACCTTCTGTTTGGGGGTGGAAGGACCGGGGAAGGAAAATCCACGTGGGACACCGGGAGGGCTCTGATCCCGCCCCCGGAGGGTGGCCACGCACTTGGAGGCTTCTTTCCACTTACATATTCGTCCGGGTTGGGGTCCTGAGACTGCGGGGTGTCCGGGACCGCCGTGTCGCAATCCGGACTGTAGTGCTCGCAGTAATCGAAGGCGGCTCGGTGATCGGACACCACCAAGAGTTGCTGGACGTCGCCCTGCAGGGGGAGACACAAAAGGCAGACGGCGCTCAGCCCTGAAACACCACTCCCCAAGAATAGCGGCATTACGTACACCTTCCCTCTGTCCGGTAACGAGGCTTTAGCGATGGAAGAAGCAGTTTGGTGGGGAAGAACGAAAAAGCAGCCAGAGGATTTGGGTCAGCCTTATCGAGCACAGCTGGGAAATAATGCATTAGAATTAACACATTGACATTAAAATACAGCAGGGCCCCCGGATCCATGGGAGATTGGTACCAAGACGCCCTGCGGATTCTGAAAAATGTGGATTATAGCAAACGGTGTTTTAAGAGTGAAAACTATACATTGGGTGGTCTCTGGCTCCCTCTCGTGGTCAGTTCCAGTAATGACATGGCGAAAATATAGCAAACGCTCTACATAGCATCATCTCTGGCTCCCTCTTGTGGTCAGTTCTAGTAATCACATCGTTCTATTTCTCAGCTTTTCTTTTTAATCTTTTCATAAAATCGGTGGATGCCCTACTGTAGTTGGTGTTGCATGTTCAGGATAACCAGCCCACAGAGGCCTCTGAGGAATAATGATTTGAAAATTAAACATATTTAATATTACCCTCATAACATTATTTAAAAAGATCAGGGGCATTCCTCCCGTTTATCAGCAACGGTGAGCGTTCACCTCCTTGATCCGAAGGATATCCTAGGCTTTCTAGTTTGGTGAAAATACCAAGAATTTGATACTAAAGCAAAAGGTCTAGTTTCAGCGACAGTAATTCTGTGGCACAGAACCTCAAGAGAGTCCCTCTCCAAACTACAAGTCCCATCGTCCTTCAACTGGTCCCCAATGGCTGCCACTGTTCTTAGTGTAGATTCCCCTTTGAGTTAAAGTTTTACATATTGGTCTCGGCCAAGGAGAGGCCATCCGGAGTATCTGCAAGACCCCCCCTTCAGAACACAGAAGGGCCGTTCTCTTCCAAAGTGCCGAATTATAACAGAACCGGTACAAGGGAACAGACGGACGCACATCCACGTCCCCTCCTTTTCTACTCTTCACCCAAAGAACAGGATAGATTTAATTTGGCCCTGTGAGGAGGCCTCTGTAAACTTTCTGTTGTTCTTTGGCTGCCACCCAAGAAGCCACTTTTGCTGCACAAAAAAATAAAACAAAATGATTTTCCTCTTTTTTCCCCTTCCATGCCTCTTGTCGGTGTCAAAACAGATCTAGGGGACCAAAGAAAACATCTGCAGGAAGATCGGGAGGGAGGGCTCAAGTGCCTTCAGCAGCTCCTGTACCCGGGGCCGAAAGAAGAGCTAATCCAGACCCACTTGCTCATTCACCCCTAACCAAGAGCTCAGAGGTCTGGCATGGAGGCCTGTAGCTCTCCTCCCTCAAGTAGCCACAGTGTAGTGGTCAGAGCAGCGGGCTTAGACCTGGAGGGACCCACGTTCAAATCTCCACTCTGGCCTCAAACTCATATGGCAACAGTCTTAGGATGAAACAGAAGAGAAGGGCCACGGACACTGCCTGCGCTCCTCGAAGGAAACATGGAACACGGTTTAAATGCAGCAAAGGAATAAAATACAACAGTACAACACAAGCCCGCACGCCAAGATTGACAAAACAGGTTTGGCAAAATCCCGAGGCATGAGTGAAACAACTTCCTGTTGCCGGCCAAGTCTTAAAACACTGGCCATTTGTGCCAACTGGCTAGCAGGAACCTCGACAAGGCCTGCAACACGTTATAGGGACAGTTTCCGCAACTCCGAAGAGGCGATTCTTCAATGGCCCTGCCTGAACTCATTCTAGAATCGTGAACTTGTGGAGCTGGAAGGGGCCCCGTGAGGCTCTCCCCTGGCCAGGGCTGGGGGGAGTCGTTGGTGTTTAAACTGCGTTTGGAAGACCCCTGGACCCCATCAACAGACAGAGTCCCCATACTCCACTTTCCCTGCTCCCTCTGAGCTGATTGACGGTCCTCTCAGCAGTTGGGAGAGAAGCTGGTTTTCCCGGGAATAGTAGGTTCTTGTCACGTAAAGTCCTTGCGGGCGGTGACATCTTTAGGGAACAAATAGGAGCCATTAAAGTTACCAAAAACCTGGTTCTCTATAATTTCTATGGACCGATCCAGCAGCTTCCCCTTGCGGCCATGGCGGCAAGTGCACATTCAGTTGTAGGAATGAAAGGCAGCTGAACGGTCTTTGACACGAGGGGATAAGGACACCTCAAAAGCGTAGCCTTGGAAGCCAACCCAAGGGTCATCAAGTCAACTCCATCCACACAGGCGTCTGTCGCTCGCACATCATCCCAACGTCTCTGCCCTCCATGGCACTCTCACACCGCTTGGACCACCAGCAGCTTCTTCCGAACGTTGAGTCAAAACTCTCCCCTCCGTGTGAGTTTGGGTCTTAACCAGCTCGCTCCATCTTCCATGGGAAAGCCTTTCAGAGATGTCAAATCCCCTTCGTCCTTCAGTCGGGCTTAATCCAACGCAGTTCCCTCCACCCAGGATTTGAGATCCCAGGCCTCTTCTCCGTCTGCCCTTTCATTTGTGCTCTCTCATCCCTCTGGAAATGGGCTCCTCAGACTGGACCCCACGTTCCAGGCAAGTCGGACCAAAGCAGAAGGGAAGTCAGCTGCTTGCTCCCTACTTTGGAGGATCTCCACAGATGCCGCTGGAAAACCCATCGCGAGGAGCTGTGACAAAAAGCACACCCCCCAGCTTTTTTCCAACAGTTAAAGCAGACAAAAGACCGTTTCATAGACTCCATGCTCAGTCGCCGGGCCAAAAATGTTGAGGGTTGCGGTTAGGTGGGGGTTGAATAAGCAAAGAGTAATCTACCCTTTAAGGGGGGGCAGAAGGGGCTTGACATATGGGTCCCCTCCTCCTCTCCCCTCGGCTATATTGAGTTAGCAGCTTCTGCTATTTTAACTTTTTTTGGGGGGGGGAGAAAGAAGGGATTCTTTTTATATGGGTTCTCAGATTTCATTCCTGTGCTGTTGGGGGGGGGGGGGGGTTCTGTCCTTACATCGTCAATTTCCCTGCTTTCTTCTCTTGTTTTGTAAGGAGCGATATATTCTGGGCTGCGACCCAAAAAAGCTTCAGCTGATTGGAAACAGATGGGGATGGGCACTGGATCCAAAACCACTGGGGCTTTCTTTACGAAGCCATGTTTCAATTTCACCGCATTCCAGCCAATATTGCCTTCCTCTGCTCCTCAAGGAGCGGAGAAGCGACTCCACGCAGGATTGGGGAGCGGAGGAGAACATTTGCAACGAACGCAACGCCGCATGCCATTTATTTATAGGTTTGCTCAAACAGCAAAGCGGGCGCTCGAGGGGGCCTCCAGGAACAAAGACAGGAAAGCATCAGAACTGCGATCTCGACAGGAAAGAGCAGGAGAACAGAGTTGGGCCCTTCACAAGAACTTCTAAAGATGCGATGCTGAATATGAGCAACGATTCAGGAGCTTCTGAAGAGTCCAGGCGAGTAAAGGAGGAGATTCAGTCAGTAGCTGCAGACCATCCTCTGGTCTTTAAATGGGACGAGGTCGAACGCTGCGCTACATTTTCAAAAACCCAAAGGCAGAACCTCACCCCAATAAACACAAAGGAGGCATCGTCAGGAGAACGTGGATTATTTTCCCAGGTGTTCTCGGGATACTTAGTAAATGAATACCGTTCCTGAACTGAATCCTGAACGGAGAGGCCACCGGGATTTTGATTTCTCAAAACTCTACTGCAAATCCCCTCCAACCAGGTCTCCTCCAATAACGTGCCGACAAGAAGTCGGCTCACCAGGAGACGTTGGCACTTCTAAAATGATCTGAGGAAGTTCCTGGCTTAGGGGAAATATATATACATACATTTAAAAAGCCTAAATACTTTCAAATGCTTTTTTAAAAAGATAATGAAGTACAAACTAGAGTTTTGTCAAACCAAAACACACCAGTTATGAAAAGCTCTGCAGCAACTCATCCCTTCTTCTGGCCTTCTCCGTACGGCCCCTTGGCCTTTAAATCGCTCTCACACCAAAATGTTCAAGTTGTCCCAGGAAGGGGTGTTTCTAATGCCTTACAAGTCACAGAGCCCTGACCCCTTCTCCTCTCTTACCAGTGTGAGCAGAGGGAAGGCAAAAGGTGTAGGGTTCACACCACACACACAAACACACACCATGCCCCACTACGCACATAATCAGGGAGGTCATGACAATGCATCCGACAAAAGCCAAAAGCAGCACAAAATAACTCAGAACGGCGGAGCTGGAAGGGACCCTCGGGGTCATCCAGTCCAGCCCCTGTCAAGGAAGCCCAGTGGGGGAATCGAACCCCCAGCCCTTGGGCTCTGCAGCCAGAGAACGAAAACCTTGAGCGCCCAGCGGAAATGCGACCAAAATAAGAACCGCATGAACCTGGCCAGCCGGCCAAACTATGCCGCCTACTCATGCCAACAGACGGGATCTATTTGAGATTAAGGCTACCGTTGTGCCAGAATACACATCCAGAGGAATGGCGAAGAACACAACGCACAAGAGCAACGCAATCACACCTCTGGTTGCTCCCCAAGGGTCACAATCGACATGTGTAGAGAAGCGACAGAGTTGGGTTAACTTCGATCCCTTACATTCAGTGTGCCCTCAAATCCTAGGAAAGGCAGTGACACAAGAGCAACGCAATCACACCTCTGCTTTGCTCCCCAAGGGCCACAACCGACATGTGTAGAGAATCAACAGAGTTGGGTTAACTTCGATCCCCTACCTTCAGTGTGCCCTCAAATCCTAGGAAAGGCAGTGTGGGGCAGGGGATGCAGTGTCAGGCTGGGAGGCCTGGATTCAAATCCGCCCTGCTCAACCACAGGTGCTCTCTTGGCACACTGGTAATATCACTCTTTAAATACCACACTTACCCTCAAACCCCCTGCGAGGACGGTCGTTAAGTCAGAAGCAACAAACCTATGACAGTGTGGGGCAGGGGATGCAGTGTCAGGCTGGGAGACCTGGATTCAAATCCGCCTTGCTCAACCACAGG